TCCCGCAGCTTGGCATTGCTGCCATTAGTAAGCTTGTGATCTACCAGAACCCCAGATCCTTCTCCACCATTGATTCCCCCAGTTGTACCCCCCCTAGTATGTATGATACATGCATATTCTTAGCCCCCAAGTGCAGAACCTTACATTTATCAACATTAAACCTCATTTGCCACATAGTTGCCAAATTAAACAGTGCATTGAGGTCGGCTTGTAAATTGGAGACATCCTGTAAGGACATTATTCCACTGGCACAGCTTGGTGTCATCTGCAAAGACTGAAATGGGATTTTTAATTCTAGACCCAATATTGTTTATAAATATATTACAAAGTAAGGGTCCCAACACTGAACCTGACAACCCTAGACCATTCAGAGTATAATTCAGTAACCACTACTCTCTGAATACGTGCATATATATATATATATATATATATGTGTATATAAATATATGTGGAAGCCGCACTGCCTCATCAAGGCTCCTGTATAAAGTACGGTCTTAACACTAATCTTTGAGAATCTTGGCATCAAAGTCCCTCATTACATCAATGCTCCTCCACTCCCTGGGCAGGAGGCGGGATGCAGAGCGATTGTGGTCGGAGGCAGGGGTGGACTGACAACTCATGGGGCCCCTGGGTAATAGGGGATCATGGGGCCCCTGTGTCCTTGCCAAAACTCAAAAAATCTTATGAAAAAGGTACCAGGGGCATCTCATGGGGCCCCTACTGACCTCGGGCCCTCGGGCAGTGCCCGAGTTTCCAAATGGTCAGTCTGCCCCTGGTCAGAGGACGTTCCTGTGAATACTGGGGAAAGCACATAAATGGTTGTTTTCAACAAATAATTGGGATGATGACAATGGAGCAGGGAGGAGCCTGAGCTGGGCAGTGCAGGGGAAGTTGATTGAAGAAGAGACCATAGGCTGACCTCATGTGCACAGAAAGGATATACCACTAACCCTAGCAGCAGGTTGGATAAAGTCTTGCAGAGAGCCAGATGTGGCCCATGTGCTGTAGTTTGATGCAGGGCCAAATCTGGGGGGGGCGGCTGGGGGTGCGCTGTGCCCCACTAGATTTTAGCTGTGCATCCCCAGGTCTCTTAGAGTGCATCAACTGATCCATGTGCCAGTCTTACATTAACAGTTGCTGTAGGGAAGCACATTGATGGGGATCCCTGATGTAAGGGGACACTCTGATGGGGAAAACTGATGTAAGGGGGGGACTCTATTGGGGACAGTGATGTAAGTGGACACTCTAATGGGGAAAAGTGACGTAAGGGGGACTCTATTGGGGACAGTGATGTAAGGGGACACTCTGATGGGGAAAAGTGATGTAAGGGGGACTCTATTGGGGACAGTTGGGGACAGTGATGTAAGTGGACACTCTGATGGGGAAAAGTGATGTAAGGGGGACTCTATTGGGGACAGTGATGTAAGTGGACACTCTGATGGGGAAAAGTGATGTAAGGGGGACTCTATTGGGGACAGTGATGTTAGGGGACACTCTGATGGGGAAAAGTGATGTAAGGGGGCCTCTATTGGGGGCAGTGATGTAAGTGGACACTCTAATGGGGAAAAGTGATGTAAGGGGGACTCTTTCAGAGACCCTGATGTAAGGGGGCACTCTGATGGGGAACCTGTGATGTAAGGGGCACTCTGATGGGGGCAGCTGATGTAAGAGGGTACTCTGATGGGAACACTGATTAAGGTGGAGTAGCCATGATGTAAAGAGGAACTCTGATGAGGGCTCCTGATGTAAAGAGGGACTCTGATAAGGACATCAGATATAAGGTGACATAGGTTCTGTTTAAGCACCTTAATCTACTGACAGCCTAATACATACTACTAGTGTTTCCCAGGTTGTGACACTGTGTGACAAACTGTAAGAGACTCACACACACAGTGTTGCCATTTACCCCCTGACTTTTTTTTTACTGCACCCCAGATCAGATAGGCTAGATCCAGCCCTGGTTTGATGACCACGTATCTGCAGTATATCTTTATTATATATAATAAAATTGTATTCTTTTTATTTACAACAGTCCGTTAATGTTGGAATGTCCTGTATCTGTAGAGTATGTGAAATAATTGGAAGTTGTCCAGTAGGAACCTGATGATTATGCTTTTTTGTACCCAGCTATAATGGAAAAACATATGTGGGTCCTCATTATTTTTTCAGGGTTAATGGCTAGTGAAGGCAATCGTTGGAGACAACTTAGACGCTTTTCTCTGACAACACTGAGAAATTTCGGTTTGGGAAAGCGCAGCATTGAAGAACGTATTGAGGAGGAATGTGGCTGTCTAGTAGAGGAAATCAGAACATACAAAGGTAATATATTGTAACAAGCAAATCATAGTTAGATTATCTAATGTCTCCATGTATTAAGTTTTAAAGAATGTCAGGGGGCTAGAGGGCACTACATCACCCCCCCCCCCAAAAAAAAATGGGACTGCATTTCCCTCTTCCCTCTCTCTTTTACATCTCTCAACAGATAATCAGAGCATTTTGGAATTAACATTTTTCCATGTTGCTCACCTGATTGGCTGATGGATCCCTTTAAAGTGTCATTAAACCCAGGACGCTGCATTCACTATATCTGATCTCCCACAGTACACAGAACAGGGAAAAGCAGTTATTGTAGTAAATATAAACTGATAAATACCTTTTCTCATCAGCAGTATATAGCAGTCTTGTTACTTCTATCAGTGTCCAGCAGAGCACTGGTTAATCTTGCAGAAGGAGTTTTCATTCTCCCCTGACTGTCCTGTGAGGCTGCATGACCCCTGACCCTGTTTGGACAGCGCTGATTGGCCCTGTGGTGATCAAATGCACCTTACCAAAGGAAAAAAAAAAAAACTAGCTATACACACTACACTGAGCTTGTGACTCCTAGACCTCTGTACTATCAACAGATGGATTGGGGACAGTAGAAGAAGGGGAGGGTCAGAGAAGACAGGATCAAGCTGTCTTTTTACACAATGTAGAAAATTAACCCCTTAGGTTCCACAGTGAGTATAACAAGCATGATTTCCTTCATATACAGACTGATTTTACTGTTGTGGGTTTAGTAACACTTTAAGGGTACCTGATCCAGCTGAAGTGTTAATACTTCTTTTTTGCAGGCTGACAATGCTAACCCATTGCAATTAGGAGCAGTCTTTTTAGCCTCATGCTCCTTCAATAGGCTGTTGAGCCAGGGGATTATTTACCAACAAGGCAAACAAGGCATTTGCCTAGGGCGGCATTTTTCAGAGGGGCAGCAGCATTTTAAGGGGGGCAGCGCCGTCCCCTGAAAGGGCTAATATTACTTTGCATCACCCACTGCACACCAGCTGAAATTTCAGATCAGTAGGTCAATGCAGGGGCGTAATTGCCACAAGGCAAACAAGGCATTTGCTTAGGGCAGCATTTTTCAGAGGGCCAGAAGCATTTTTGAAGGGGGCAGCGCTGTCCCCCAAACGAAGGGATGGAAGAAGGGACACACGCAACATGGGGACCAGGTGGGATCTGAGAGATAAAAAGAGACTAGCCACCTAATATGACACGTAAATATGTGTCATATAGATATCTCCGTCTTACTAATAATTAGTGTGGATTTATAAACCCGATATACATAACATAAAAAATATCAGTATGACAAGTGCAATACTGCTCACACAGAGTGGTTATTAGAAAATCCAAGCGGAGTAATGTAATTAGTAATTACAAAAAAGTTTTATTCGATCACATGGATCATACTGAGGTTAGACAGACATGGTAAACAAGTCATAATAAAATCACTAAATTTAAAAACATTTGGCGTCTCCAGATCCAATAGTTATACGGCAATCAGGAATCCACATAAGGCAATGAAGTTCCTAACTACTAGATCAAAGAGTTTTCATATTTTCCATACGGTATCTGCATAGGGAGAACATTCTTCAAGAAATATTTTGGTAACCACCACATTGAATAGAATGACCTCCTGAAATGGAAAACCAGAAAAGAAAGGATCTTAGTAGAGGGAACAAAAAAAGGGATATATGCACTAACCATATGCAATAACAGAACAACCCCATGACAGGTATATATGTTATTCCATTACCTTCTCATAAACTTGACCATCATGAAAGGATGGATATATAGCCTTCCTGGGTCACCACCACCCCAAATGGAAATGTATCCACAGTAGTAAGTGATTCTAAAAGTGTATAAATAGGAGACATAAATATCAAACTACCAGCAAACCTGAATGAGTCTAAAATATGGGTAAAAAAGTCTTTAAATATTACTATACAAATGATCAAGGGGACTCCTCCTCACTTGAAGTAAGATCAGGTCTGGATGAAAAAGTGAATATGGGGGTGGGAAGTCAGGTGGCTAATGTATAGAGTCCGGACTGGTTGACACAGTCTATGTATACTTGAATATATAGACCCAAATCTGGGTTTCCAAAAATTGCTCAAATAATTATTATTATTATTATTATTATACAGTATTTATAAAGCGTCAATAGTTCGCTCAGCACTGTACATTACAAAGGGGGACAGAACATGTGACAGAACAATACCAATACAATACAAAACATGAGGGGATCGAGGGCTATAATAATGAGAAAGTAGTGCGGTTCCTTAAAAATATATGAGACTGTTTTTGCATGCCACAACACATGTATACATATTCCTCCAATAGGAGTTCAAAAATTCCCCAAAACTGAGGTAGATAGGCACAGGATTTCCAAAATGTAAGGGTATGTTACCCGTATATATAGATAGTACTAAAGCCTAATTTAGCCAAACGGCTACAAACTTGCCACCGGTGGAAGTAGGCTGTGACTAAAAATTGCCATGTGCGGGCTCTGAGAGAGGCTGCGGGCTGCTTGATGGTGTATACAGAGCCTGACTCTTGTTCCCGGGGATGTCCAGAGCTGTAAAGGTGAGTGTCTTCTCTCTCGCTGGGGTGGGGGGTTGCCAGTGTATGGAGTCGATAGTAGTGGAAGGCTCTCTTGGGTGGGGGCTGGGGTGTTGTGGTCAATATCAGGCTCTCTTGGTGGAGGAGGAGGGTGTTGGTCGGAGTCAGGGTCTCTCCGGGGGGGGGGGGGGGAGCAGATTTTGTTTGTTGCCAAGGGCAGCACGAAACCTAAATACACCACTGTGTTGAGCTGCCTGACAGGTTTACCAAATGGGCAATCCAATGGCTAATTGAAAGTGCATATACAGCAGGCTGACAACAATGTAACAGGAAGTGCTGTATGTATTTTTACTGTGTATCCCGCAGATAAACTCTATAGAATATTTAGACACATTATAAATAAAATATGATTCTAAGCGCTATTCCAATTTTCCACATTTCATTCCAGAGCTCCAGTTTGACCCAGCTATTCTCATCACCAAAGCTGTATCCAATGTAATCTGCTCAATCGTGTTTGGAAATCGCTTCCAGTATGACGAGGCCAAGTTCCATAGAATGCTGAAAATCTTCTACGAAACATTTGAGCTCATGAGCTCCACCTGGGGACAGGTACCAGATGAACAGAGCCACAGAAATTCAGTTGTTATAGCTATAAACTAATTAGTACCCTTCATTCTTTAACGAGGAACTAAACTGTATCTGAGCACCACAAACTGAAAACACGAATTAATTTTTAATATTCAAAGCAAACTCTCCCACCCATCCATGTCACCATGCTTTAAATCCCTAGCATTTATAGCCACGGCCATCTTCAGTGAGGGCAAATGTAGCATTTACTTCCTAGAATCCATCTGCCCTTAACTCAGGTATGCAGACAGAAGGGTGTACTTAGAAGAAATATAAAACAAGTATATATAATATACCTTTCCAATCCCTTTACTACTGCTAGCAGCATACGGATTTAAAATAATTAATGTTCAGTGAGAAAGATTAATTCAACTTTAATTATATGAAGAATTACCAGAAAGGAACAATAACACTTTATTTTAGAATATTTGTTGCCCTTTTACTTCAGTAATCCCAATGACCTGGATCAAGAATGGAAATCAGTAAAGTCAGAGTCTGAACCCCTTATTTGCATGCCTTTTCTAGGTTTTTGACTGGAAGTATCAAAGCCAAAGGGCCAGCATGGGAGAACGGCAGACTCCATGTTCCTCCTTAAAGCTACAATCTCTCGCTGTAAAGCTGGCCATGTAAACAAAGGTTTGAAGTTTTTTTTCAGCCTATGGGCTGAACAAACTAAGCATAATGGATACCTCCATCCACACTAAATTGAGCACCTGCCAAGTGATCACATTTTTATTTATTAATAATAGGTACTTCTAAAGAGCTGTCAATTTACGCAGCGCTTTACATATATATTAGCTTACTATCTAAGGTCTTAACTCACATTCACACATAGTAGGTACAATTTAGACAGAAGCCAATTAACCTACCAGCATGCCTTTGAAGTGTGGGAGGAAAATGAAGTACCTGGAGGAAATCCACGCAGGCACAGGGAGAACATGCAAACTCCAGGCAGGTAGTGTCATGGCTGGGACTCGAACCAATGCTAGGTGGAAGTGATAACCACTTAGCCACTGTGCTGCCCACCATTATATTGTATTTTATTTTCTAGTATATACTATTATAAACCTCACATTAAACTGATTCTAAAGTTTCATTTTTTGGGGGGGGGGAAAATAACAAACATGTCTATACTTACCTGCTGTGTGCAGTGGTTTTGCACAAAGCATCCCAGATCCTCCTCTTTTCGGGTCCCCTGCAAGTTCTCCTGGCCCTTCCCTTCTGTCGGGTGCCCCCACAGCAAGCAGCTTGTGATGGGGGCATCCGCTGCTTCATGTGTCCATTCACAAACAGAGCTGTGGCTTGGCCCCATCCCCTTTCTCTCCTCATTGGCTGACTGGTTGTGATTGACAGCAGCAGGAGCCAATGGCTCCTGCTTGCTGTCTCAGCCAATGAGGAGGCAGAGACCTGAGACAGCCGAGGCTGTCGTGCACATTGCAGGATTGCGATGAGGCTAAGGTAAGTATTGAGGGGGCTGGGGGAGCTACTGCACATAGAAGGTTTTTTAGGTAAAAAACCTTGAAAGTAAAAAACCTTGAGCCTTTACAACCACTTTAATCTTAAAGTCATGGTTACACGGCAATAATAAATTAATATGTTGATTGTGAGAGACCTTTATAGTTACATAGTTAGTCTGGATGAAAAAAGACAAAAGTCCATCCAGTTCAACCATTAAGCTCCCTGGCGGTATTCCCAAGTGTAGCTCGGGGTAAAATTTCAGTACCAAAAGCAGTAACCCCGAGCTACACTCGGGCTTACCATGCAGCGTTGCACAGGGAGTCCCTGCCGTGCTTACCTTGTCCCCTGCAGCGCCCCCGGCCATCTCCTCTGGCCGATGCCGGCATCCGGCTTCCGTGTTCCGGTCCCTGTGAAGTCGGAAAGTATGGGTGGCAAATTTAAAATTTTTTAAAAATTAAATTTTTTTGTAAACGAATATTACATAGTAAAACATTGCTGTTTTAAACCATTCCACACACATTTTGTCCCGAGTGCTTTGTCCTGTCCCCTGTCTGCATTTTTACTGTTCTTTCTGCCTGGAAACTGAGAAACGTCCATGGCATCCAAAAAGCGCCCCTTTAGGTCAAAAACGGTTTTAGACCAGCTAGAGAACAGCGACAGTAAATCAGAACCACTTGCAGAATTGAGTGATAATGATTCGTGGAGAAATTCGTCATCAGACACTGAAAACAATTTTGCGACTTTGCTCAGCGATGTGCGAATTTGCTTCTGTATTTCAAATTTCAGTGTTTTTGGTTTCATTATATTATTGAATTAAATTTATTATTATTATATTATTATTTTTTATAATTATTTATTAAATTATAATTTATGATTTCGTGTTTCAAATTTTATCATATCCGGGATGTTTACTAGACTCTTCTTCGTATAGATTTCAGTGAGTTATTCCTAAAAATTACAGCCTACAATAAAAAACTACATATTTCCATGCAAAAAAATGGTATCGCTTTCAGCACAAAAAATCGGAAAGAATCATACCGCCGAGGAGGTTAAAAAGAAGTTATAACCCTACACCCACAGTTGATCCAGAGGAAGGCAAAAAAAAACCAGCAAAGCATGATCCAGTTTTCTCCTGCAGGGAAAAAAAATCCTTCCTGATCTCCCGATAGGCAATCAGTTATTCCATGGATCAACTTTACCTATAAAATGTTATATCCAGTTATATTCTGTGTATCCAAGAAATAATCTAGGACTTTTTTAAAGCAATCCACTGAGGTGACCAGAACCAACTCTTGAGCATTGAGCATTGTTGGAGCATTTCACACCGCTGGGAGGGAGAAGGAAAGATTGTAGATGCAGATAACAACAACAAATGGTCCCTGATGTGTAATGCACACTACTTTATGAGAAAACAACATGGCATAAGATGGAATTGCTGTCACATTCCCCTAAACAATGAAACATACTTCTAATATGTATTTGCAGGTACAAGACATGATTCCAATGATAATGAACCACATTCCTGGCCCTCACCAGAAAATCACAACGCTGCTGGAGGAGCTGAATGATTTTGTAGCCGAGAGAGTGAAGATAAACCAGGAGTCCTTGGACCCAAATGAGCCCAGAGATTACATTGATTGCTTCCTCATCAAAATGCAGCAGGTACTCACACAGCGTAAAAAGGTTTGATGTGAGAATCAGGATACCGAGTGATCTGCCCTATTTATCAAGGGATTAAGCACAGTTATTTTGCAGATAGTATGTGTTATGGTAATCACTTGATTAGTAACTTGGTACCACAGTAAAGATCCTCCAACAAATAGCAGTTTATTTAAACATAAGGCATAAAATCCAACAGAAAACTGACACATATCAGCTGCTCAGGCCTTAGTCCAGGGGTGCTCAGCCTGTGGCCCATGGGACACATATCGCCCTCGGAGCCCTCTGATGTGGCCCTCCACCTCAAACCAGGGAAGCGCACTTTTATCATGTCCTGCAGGTTTGGTGCACTTTCTGAAAGCGCACCAAAACACCTGAATGCAGGAGTTTTGATGTGCTTTCAGAAAATGCACCACACCCACAAGATAAAAAAGAAGTCTATGGCAAAGCTCAGCTAACTTGCAAGAAAGCCACCGGTCCACTGCGAAGCACCTGCGGTATAGGTAACATCAGTGTGAAAGCAGTCTTATAGGAGGACAGTAAGGGCTTGTTTACATTTGTGGTTTGGGGGCAGTAAAATCCCATAGTAGAGATGTGTTTTTATCGCCAAAACCTCCAGTGTAGCATCAGGGGGTCACAATGGTGACCCTGGCCCATGGTCCAGGGGGCCCATGTGACATGCTGTTTTACACTTGGACAGGAGGGGCGGCGGGGGCGGCATATACAAGAACTGATTCTCTCAATTTTCCAGAAAGCTTCTCCTCCTCTCCCTACAGCTGGCATTCAGCAGCTGCAGGAGGAAAATGTACATTATGTTATTCAAATAAAAAAATTCCAAATTCTGAACCATTTCATATCATTGTGGTCCATGGCTGGTTACCAAATCACTTAAATGGCACAAAAGTCCTCACTTACATCACAGTCCGAAGAGATCCCCAAGAGTCCTTCTTTATATACACTATAAAGGGGAACTCTGCTGAGGATCTTTCTGGATAACAGTGTGTACTCTCCAGCGCTCCAGGAATCAAATTCCAAAAGGAGGCCAAGGGAACCAGGACAGGAGTAGCCTATGGATAGTGCTTCAGGGATGCAGCCCTCCTCAGATGGGGGAATCAACAACTGGAAAAAGAGCAAACAGGTGGTGCAAACACCTAGTGCATTATCCAAGGTTTACTGAAAAATAGAAAAGACGAAAACATACTCACAGACATAGCATGTATGTAAAGCTTTGTATGACAATAGAGATGGCTGCAACAGAGGACAGGGGGTGTTCCAACTGTCAGTGTGGTCGATACTGACGCGTTTCGGGGACAATTCCCTTTCCTCAGAGCTACTAGAGTACATGCTATGTCTGTGAGTATGTTTTCGTCTTTTCTATTTTTCAATAAACCTTGGATAATGCACTAGGTGTTTGTGCCACCTGTTTTCTCTTTTTTTACGGGGGATCTTTGTGGACTCTTTGGTATTCAGAGACTCCCTCACATCAGAGCTCTCTTTTACCCCAGAGAATGTAGAGTTCCCCTTTAAATCAGACAGCCAGATAACAAGTATTTCTAGAAGGGGGTCAGGTCAGCCTCCTCACAGCACAGGGTTCTTTTACCTTACATGAAAAGCACCCCCCTGTTAACACTGCCCTCCCCTCCTGTCTCTGTTTGATTATTGTAGAGCTGTTCCCCAGAGTCAACACAGCATGAGGCATGACTGCACCAGACTAAACCCTCTCTCCTTGCCACAGTACCCCACACACACACTCACTCACTGTCAGCGCTGTGCCCCTTCATCACTTTCCCCTTAGCAGTCCAAGCGGGTCCTCCTTACCCTAGTGAGCTTCGTTGTTGGCAGGCTGGATACTGGGAGGCGAGGCAGTAGGATGCTGAGCAGAGAGGAGGACATTATATCCTCCTCCTTTTCCAAGGGCCTGTGAATGCATGTGATTGGTTGCTAGGATACCAGGAGGTCCTAGCAACCAATAATGTTGACAGTAGAGGGCAGCAGTGGCCAGTGGTAGTGCCATGGCACTAGCAGGTCAGATTATTTAAAACATGCGTAAAACTATACCTGCCCACTGGTTGGCAACCCCCTGCAGGGGGGGTTGTACAGGCCCCTGCAGCATGGGGCTAGGTTGCAATTGCAACCCCTGAGATCCCTGTTGCTACGCCCCTGGTATTTTCGATCTAGCCTGAGGTGTAGATTTAATGGGAACAGATCTTGTTCCCATTTATCTATAAATCAGAATCAGGAATAAATTAATCAGAAAGTATGGTAACATTGCACTACTCTGATGAAAGTATTAAAAAAAAATAAAAATAATATATAAAAAAAAAGAAAAAATGTTTAAAATGTTATATCAAATTCCTTGGAGTGTCTACTTTCCAAAAAGGAGTCATTGGGGGGGGGGGGGGATTCTGGTATTTTAAGGCTTCCAAAACTGTGATAGGCAGCGTAGAAGCGATATGAGGAAATATGCCCTGTGGCCTGGAGGTGGAAATATGCCCTGAAGCCTGGAGGTGGTCATTTGATTTTGGGGGCCTGTACCTAGCTGAGCTGCCACAAAGTCTCTCACATGTGGTATCCTCATACTTAGGAAAAGTAGCAGAATGTGTTTTGGGGTGTTTATTTCACATATACCCATGGTATGGATGAGCAATATATCGATTAAGTGACAACTTTGAGTAAAAAAAAAAAAAGTTGTCATTTTCCAAAAATGTGTGGCAAAAAATAAAACATTCCATGGACTCAAAATGTCTCTCAGAAAATTCCTTGGGGTGTCTACTTTCCAAAAAGAGGTAATTTTTTTTTGGGGGGGGGGATTGTACTGCCCTGGCATTTTAGCACCTCAGGAAATCAGGAAATGTGATCAGAAAGTAAAAGTTGCGTAAATTCTAGTGTGTATATATATATATATATATATATATATATATATATACCATATATTTTTTTTTAACGCTATAAACACAAACCAATTAATGTACATGTATTGTGATTTTTTTTTTTTACCAAAGACATGTAGCAAAATATATTTTGGCCTAAATTTATGGTGAAATTTGAGTTTATTGGATTTTTATGACAGAAATTAGAAAATATCATTTTTGTTTTTCAACATTTTTGGTCTTTTTTTGTTTATAGAGTAAAAAAAAAAAAAAAAAAAACAACCCAAAGGTGATCAAATACCACCAAAAGAAAGCTCTATTTGTGTGAAATAAAGGGCAGAATTTCAATTTGGTACAGCATTGCATTAACATGCAATTACCAGTTGAAAAAGCTCAGTGCTGAATAGCAAAAAATGGCTTGATCATTAAGGGGGGTAAATCTTCTGAAGGGCAAGTGGTTAAAAAGCAGGAACATATGAGATCATCAGTATATAAAGGACCTCTGAATATATAATTTCTTTATGTTTTCAGGAAAAGGATAATCCTGACTCAGAATTCAACATGAAGAATTTAATTCTGACTCTTAACAACCTGTTTTTTGCTGGTGGTGAAACTGTAGCTACCACTTTGAAACATGGATTCCTCATACTCCTGAAGTACCCCGATATACAAGGTGTGTTAATTAAACAGTTTTATTTTAAAAAAAAAAGACATTTCCTAGCTACTTCTGCATTTTTGGCTTCTTAAAAATTTTGAATCACTGGATGACCCATTGGAAGATTTCCCTTCACCTCGTATTTCAAGACACACTTTTTTGTGTCTAAGACAATGATCACCAGATCCAAAAGTGAGGATAAATCTCCTCACCAAGATACAAACAGATATAAAAAAAAAACAGACAGAGAGTCTAATTCTAAAGGTACCTTTTAGTTCAGAGCGCAACCTTAATTACTGAGATGCAATAGAGCATGAGTATTGTCACTGAAGGTAACTTACAGTACCTGATATAACAACAGACTAAAATGATATCCCCAAGCACATAAAAGTTCAACTACTTATATAATAAGAATGCTGACTCACCCAAATCCTAGGGTGGTGTCCTCAGGACCAAAATAGTACAGTAAGAAAATAACCCAGTGGGTGAGGCCCCACTGAAAAAGAAGTCCTCAAGAGAACATACTGTGGCTTAAAACATAATGTTTATTGGCATGGTAATAACAAATAGCACAAAACTCCAGCTTCCTCCACCTTACACATATAAAACTATGACAACATTGCCATCAATAAAAGAAACCATCGACCACCCTTACCGGGATCCCGGACCAAACCACATGCACTCACACAAGCATCACACACCCGATCAGCAGGCAGAATAAAATGTCAGGGAGCCCGAAGGATCACGTGATGTCAATAGAACACCGAATACTTTCCACATATGGAGAAATTCAAGGGGCAGTATACATATAATTGGCAGGATCAAAAATAGTGATAATGATAGTGGTATCAAATAGACCCCAGGAACAAAGATATATGGAAGTGAATCCAAGTATAGTGTACTGAGTGGCTTCAGATTTCCGCTGACATTTAATTCTACCTGCTGATCGGGTGTGTAATGCTTGTGGGAGTGCATGTGGTTTGAGCCGGGATCCTGGTACAGGTGTTCTCTGGTTTATTTTATTGATGGCAACGTTGTCATGGTTTTATATGTGTAAGGTGGAGGGAGCTGGAGTTTTGTGCTATTTGTTATTACCATGCCAATAAACATTGAGTTTTAAGCCGCAGTATGTTCTCTTGAGGACTTCTTCTCCAGTGGGGCCTCACCCACTGGGTTATTTTCTAACTTATAGTATCTGCCAGAAGGCCATCTGAAACTGTCTTTGGATTGAGGTGACCATATGTGGGTTCTTTGTACACACGTTTCAGCACATCATGCCAAATATTTTAATAGATGCACAGACTACATTTAGCACCATCAGTTAAATTTTAACTCTATGACTAACAGTTTGACAATAATGCTCAGGCGCACATTCCTAGTTCTCTGTTGCAATGTTTTTTGTATTATCCTTCTGACATGGGACATGTGTTTGAAAACTTAAAAACGTGCATTGCTGCTTGTATCCACCAGGTGCATTATAAATTGTGATGCATTTCCCATAGTTGGCACATGCCATGGACATTATTATTATTATTATTATTATATTATTTATACAGTATTTATATAACGCCAAAGGGTATGCTCAGCGCTGTACAGTAGCAGGAGGACATAACATGAGACAAGACAGTAACAGTACACTACACGTGGGGTTCGAGGGCCTTGCTCTTTCGAGCTTACAATCTAGGAGGGAGGGGAGGGTGGCACAGGAGGAGACGGCTGTGGGGATGGAATGGTGGGTGGAATGAAGGAGGTTGGTTGTGAGGTGAGGTCGGGTGTTAGGAGAGGTTGGGGTAGGTTTCCCTGAAGAGGAGGGTTTTCAGGGTGCACCTGAAGGTGAGGAGGGTAGGTGACATTCTGATGGATTGGGGTAGGGAGTTCCAGAGGATGGGGGAAGTCCTAGAGAAGTCCTGCAATCAGGCATGGGAGGAGGAGACCAGGGAGCTAGAGAGCAGGAGGTCCTGTGAGGAGCGGAGGGCACGGGTAGGGTAGTATCTGGGTATCAGGTCAGTAATGTAGTTTGGGGCGGCATTGTGAATGGCTTTGTAGGTCAGGGTTAGCAGCTTGAAGTTGATGCGTTGGGCAATCAGGTGCCAGTGAAGGGAGTGGCAGAGGGGGGGAGGCAGATGTGGAGCGCTTGGTGAGGTGGATGAGTCTGACCGCTGAGTTTAGGATCGACTGGAGTGGTGATAGCGTTCGTTTGGGAAGGGAATTGCAATAGTCCAGGCGTGAGATGATGGGGGAGTGTATGACATAAAAATATACAGATATAAAAAAATTAATTAACTATTCAAATGACTGTGTTGTATGGCAGCAAGTTGCAATAAAGTCCTGCAAGTTGCATCTTGGGTGCATCAGTCTGCTGTTTGGCATTTATGTCATTTATATAATGAACATAATGAGTGTCAACTCAAACTGATGATTGATTTAATGTGTGCTAGTTTGTTCTGGTTTGAAAGACCACTCAGGAAGAAGCATAACAATTCTTGTTTCAATACATGCAATTATTCAAAATTTCATCTTGACATACAGTATGTGGCAGTCCCAACTAATCTTAAAAACATCCTGCAAAGTATTACTAGCCCACTGTACTAATTGAGGCACAGTTTGCAAGTACATAAATCTGGAATATGTTATTTTGCTGAAAAAAACATATGTCCACTGAGTTCAAACAAAAGTAAAAAATAAATGCAATAAAACCCTGAATCCTCAGAAATGTAACCACACACATTTATTTTGAGGAAAGCAGAAAATCTTTATAAAGCATGGTCCAACTTGCTCTAACAGAAAAAAAATCCCAAAGCAAATCGCATATTTCTTGAATCAACAGGAGTCAAAACTTTTCTTTAATTTTGAATATAGTAGAGAAGGATTAAATGCCTTGCCATCTCTGCAACTTTGTGAAACATTTCCTTTGCTTCCTGTCCCATAGATGGAACATATAGTTACAGAAAATCTCCCAAATGGATGAAAATTTCCCTCTTGACCAACTTTTTTCAACCTCTTCAATGCAGAGGAACCCTTGAGATAAATTTCCAGTCTCAGGGAACCCCTGCTAAAAATGACTATATCTACAACTCATGATACATTAATGTCATGGTCAGTGGGAAAAATGCTCCTTACACTTTGACATTGGGAACTATTCTCCCCTTAAAGATAGCTAAAAGGATCAATGGTCTCAGTGGAAACCTATCTGTAAGGCAAACATTTCTCATTTCTCATTGAACCCTGCTCTAGACAGTTCATCTTACTTTTAGATCTGGGGACAATCTTAACATTTTAGAATATCTCTCATTTTCTTTCTTGGTAATAATGGTCACTAATACAAATAGAGGGTGAGTCTCCCCAATGAGGACAAAAACAGTAAAAAGAACTTGACAGAAGGTCTATTCCTTCCTCACCCTATTCATATCTACAAAAAGATGTTTTAGCCAAGAACAGAACTTTAATTTATGTAATAATGAATATTGTATTGACATCATATTCCACATATCTGAAAGGTCCCAATTAAATCTTGAGATATGTTACGTAGAATGTACACCCACTATTATTTACTTGCAATCACTAATATCTATAACCTCAGTTTTTGTTGTTTTGTTTATGGCATATAATAGAAGTTAAAAAAAATCTACAATGAATTAATCTGAGAATTTCAAGTAGCACACAAGTTATAAAATATGAAGCCTTTGTGAGTGATATAAATAGTTGTGCAAAAATGTAAAACTTGGGTACTTGTTGTGATTGGCAGTTGCTTCTCTGGATAAGAAAGGTCAGATTCTAAAGTGCAGATAATGGTAGTACACTTCCTAATAGTGAACTTTATGTTTTTGCTATAGGTGTTCCTAAGGAAAAACACTAATGCAATTGAATTATCTTTAATTTGCTTGCTTTTCTTTAATTCAATCAATCAATATTTTAAAACATTTCTGTAATGGTGTTAGTTAAGGTCCAAGAGGAGATTGACCATGTGATTGGGCAGGATCGAGAACCACATATTGAGGACCGCAGCAAGATGCCATATACTGAGGCTGTGATCCATGAAATCCAAAGATTCAGCAATGTGATCCCTATGAATGCTCCCCATTCTGCTATCAAGGAGACTATGTTTAGAGGATACACTATTCCAAAGGTAAATAAGTGATGTGAATATTGAAGAAGATAGGGTCATGTACTGGTGGACAAGGACATGTTTTATAACTATTCACAGAGTATTCTGACAGATCCATTCCGTGAAAGAGAAGACCCCATTCACATCTGAGAGACACAGAAAAACAGGATTCTGCTTGCAATTCCAGATTGCTCTAAAACTGCGGCAAAACTTGCAACACACATTTGGGTGCCATTCATTCTTAATGGCTCCCGGAATGCACCAATTTTAGAGTAGAGGGCAGCCCATGCAACCAAACGATGTAGCTCCAAAAACGTGGCAAAAAAAGACACCAATAACACGGTTTCATTGTGGCTAGATGTGAATGTGGTCTAAATGTTGTTCTAATGCCCCATGACCTTTATTTATACATCTGGTGTCTAGCATTTTAACTTCACTCATTTTCTTTTTTTTTAAGAGCAGATCTTTACTTTCCCATAATGGATTTATCAGGAAGACAACACTGTTCATTAAACAGTAAAATCTGTGCAGCGTTGTCACCCTTCAGAGAGGGTAGTTTTTAGATGGACTGTAAAGAGAACCTAAACTGTGGAAACTTTGCACAAAAAAAAGTCAAAGAGAAGCAAAGGACTTCACCAGTACTGCCTGTAATCTCTCTGCAGCTGATCCCTTCTACATTTATGCAGGCCATAGATGGGTCGAAAATCGGCCGATTTTTCGGCGGAAAATAAAATTGGCCGATTTTCGGATCGTTAGTGGGCTAATTGTTCGGCCATTTTTCGGTATTTTGGCAGATTTTTTTTATCGGTAAAGTTGGAAAAAAATCGGCCGATTTTGCCGATCGGCCGATTTTCGCGGCAATTATGGGCAAATTGTCCAATCTTTTTACCAATAAAAAAATCTGCAGTGACCTGCAAGAGGAAGACAAAAAGAAGAAGAGGATGAAGAAGAAGAGAAAGAAGAGGATGAAGAAGAGGATGAAAAAGAGGAAGAAGAAGAAGAAGAGGATGAAGAAGAGGATAAAGAAGAAGAAGAGGAAAAAAGAAGAGGATGGAGAAGAAGAAGAGGAGGAAGAAGAAGAGGATGAAGAAGAGGATAAAGAAGAAGAAGAGGGTGAGAAGAAGAAGAAGAGGAAGAAGAAGAGGAAGAAGAGGATGAAGAAGAGGATAAAGAAGAAGAGGAAGAAAAAGAGGATGAAGAAGAAGAGGAAGAAGAAGAAGAGGATGAAGAAGAGGATAAAGAAGAAGAAGAGGATGAAGAAGAAGAAGAGGGAGAAGAAGAAGAAGAAGAGGAAGAAAAAGATGAAGAAGAGGAAGAAAAGATGAAGAAGAGGAAGAAGAAGATGAAGAAGAGGATGAAGAAGAGGATGAAGAAGAAGAGGAAGAAGAAGAGGAAGAAGATGAAGAAGAAGAAGAGGAAGAGGATGATGAAGAAGAGGATGAAGAAGAAGAAGAGGATGAAGAAGAAGAAGAAGAAGAAGAAGAAGAAGAGGATGAAGAAGAGGAAGAGGATGAAGAAGAGGAAGAAGAAGAGGATGAAGAGGATGATGAAGAAGAAGAGGATGATGAAGAAGAAGAGGATAATGAAGAAGAAGAAGAGGATGATGAAGAAGAAGAGGATGAAGAAGAAGAAGAGGATGAAGAAGAAGAAGAGGAAGAAGAAGAAGAGGATGAAGAGGAGGAAGAAGAGGAAGAAGAAGATGAAGAAGAGGATGAAGAAGAGGATGAAGAAGAGGATGAGGAAGAAGAAGAGGAAGAAGAAGAGGATGAAGAAGAAGAGGAATTCCAGTCCGGCAAAAAGTGTCCCTGCAGAGAGCTCTACTATTTCTTTGACAGTTCCTTTACATTTATAGCAGTTGCAACAATGTATCTATTTGTTTCTGAATAAAAACATCTGTATCCTAAATGGATACAAATAGATACATTGTTGCAACCACTCTAAATGTCAAGGAACTGTCAAAGAAATAGCAGAGCTCTCTGCAGTGACACTTTTTGCCGGCTGTAGACCGGATGAAAATCGGATGATTTTTTTTTTACCGTTCCTGGTAACGTCGGCCGCTTGAACGACCGATTTTTCATTTTTTTAAAGAAAAATCGGCCGGTTTTCTCCCCATCTATGGCCTGCATTACCCTGTCTTGGTCTGCACTGCTAAAGATGTAGTAGATGTGAGGTGCAGGACTCTGATCTCATATCTGCCACTGAAGAGGTGGTAAAGGCTCTACTTTGCTTCTGTCACAAATTGCCTCCCCCCCAAAATGGGTGATGTCCTCTCAAACTGAGTAAACCAAATCAAATCAACAATTAGAGCACCAGAGGGTCATATTAAGAGTCTATAATTGTTTATTGATGATAACCATATCAAAACAGGAAGATAAAAGGCATCCGACACATTTTGGCGGAAGACAATTCCCCTTCATAAGGACTAACATAACAAGACATAATCCTTGGAAATATTATTATTATTATACAGGATTTATATAGCGCCAACAGTTTGCGCAGCGCTTTACAATATAAGGGAGACAGTACAATTACAATACTTTCAGTACAGAAGGAATATAGGAAATAAATATCATAATCATTGTTTAAAATGTGAGAAGTATTAAAAACAAGAAATATTAAAGCCTTTAAAGAACTGATAACCAAATAGATAATGGAAAAAGAAAAAACAATTCTTTCTGTACAGAATGTAATTTAAATATGCTTACAAATGGTAGGAAGGTGCAGCAATAAATAGGTCTTGTACTTCACGGACCCAATGAGAGCTACATCTTCTACACCCCCTTCTTGCTTCATCATTGCAAGAAATATGGCACTGCTAATTTTAAAGTGATCGTAAAGGTTCACTTGTGCATGCTGGCTCCCAAGCCGCCACAGAGCATGGCTTGGCCTCGCCCCCCAAATTCTCCTCATTGGCTGTGATTGACAGCAGCAGTGGGAGCCAATGGCTTCTGCTGCTGTGCCTCAGCCAATGAGGAGGCAGAGACCTGGGAGAGCTTCTGCTCTCATACACATCATTGGATCGGGTTCAGGTGAGTAAAGGAAGGGGGCTGCAGGGGAGCTGCACACTGAAGGTTTTTTAGAATGCATAAAGGTAAAAAAAACTTTCAGCCTTTAGAACCACTTTAAAAGTCATGATTACAAGACTTGTCACTAATACCTAACCTAAACTTAGCAGTCGTTGAGATAATGGTGAATGCAAGCCAGTGAGCAATCTGCAGGTCTATATCTTAGTAACATTTTGTTGTATTATTCCAGGGTACTGGAGTCTGTGCCTTGCTGTGCTCTGTCCTGGAAGACCCAAATTATTTTGCCACCCCTCGTAGATTCAACCCAAACCATTTCTTAGACTCTGATGGAAAGTTCCTGAGAAATGAAGCCTTTGTGCCATTTTCTATAGGTATGATGATCTATTGAACCTATGATATACAGTGCTCTTAAATTACATTGTTTCAGAAGTAAAGAATAAGTGAATATTTAGATTTCAACAGGGCTGGTTTAAGAGAAACAAAAAAAGAAGCTAATTCTGACATAAAAAGCACATAAGACTACACTTTAGGACCTGGCTGTACAGTATGAGACAATGGGAGTTACTTTGTGTGTTCCATGTTGAATATGTTGGAACTTTATCTCTTTTATTATTATGTTGTTTTATCTACATATGCTGTATACACATATGTATATATAGTGCTCTAACTTTACTAAAAACATGTGATCAGTCCCTCTATGACTGTAAAGCCTAAACATTTTTACCTGAATACATTCCTTTCGTTAAGGTAAAAAATATTTACAGTAGGTATTAATATTGTCCCCTATCCCCCCTTTTAATAAGCTGATGCCCTCATTCAATCCAGTGCAGTGCCCCTCTGCAGAGTCTGCCTTCTTTTCTCCCTGCTCTCACAGGCTTGGCTGAGCCATTGGTTCCCACTGTTTTCAATCAAATCCTGTGATGAGGGAGCAGGGAGCGAGGCAAAGCCTCACTATCTGTGTCAATGGACACAGACAGCAGGGCTCAGGGACGGACTGACAACTCATGGGGCCCCTGGGCAATAGGGGATCATGGGGCCCCTGTGTCCTTGACCAAACTCAAAAAAGCCTATGAAAAGCTACCAAGGGCATCTCATGGGGCCCCCTACTGACCCCGGGCCCTCGGGCAGTGCCCAGGTTTCCAAATGGTCAGTCCGCCCCTGGCAGGGCTTTGGATCGAGCAAACAGGTGTGCCACAATAGGAAGCGGCTTTCTATGGTGGCACAACAAGAAGAGGAGGAGCACTGGCGGGGAACCCAAGAAGAAGAGATTTGAGCCATTCTGTGCATTTCCATTGCACAGAGCAGGTCATGCTTTGCTGGTTTTGTTTTGCTTTCCTCTGGATCAACTGTGGGTGTAGGAATTATAACTTTTTTTTATGGCTGAACTGGATGGACTTTTGTCTTTTTTCAGCCAGACTAACTATGTAACTGCAATACTTAATGGTCCTGTAATCTATTTTACATTATGCTGTTTCTTAGGCTCCATGCATACTAGTGTTTTTTTTAACTAAAAAAATGCTGGAAAAAACGCTGGTTAAAATTTTCTGGAGTGTTTTTACAGTACATGTAGAGGAAAGAGGAAAAAAAGCTAGTAAAAAAGCTGTTAGGTGTGCTTTAGCAGTGTTTAGGAGCAGAAAAAAATAATAAATGCTCCTAAGCACCCCTAAACACTGCTAAACACTACTAAAACAGCTTTCTTTTCTAGCTTTTTTCTACATGTACTGTAAAAACACTGCTGAAAGGCTAACACTACCAAATGCGCCTAAAGTCTTCTAAATATTACTAAAACGTTACTAACATGCTACTAAAAAAACAGCATTTTTTTATCCAGCATTTCTTCCAGTATTTTTTGCACGTAAAAAAATGCTATTGGGCATGGAGCCAACTGTGTTCTGTTTCCTCTTTGTAACGTCCTCTGTGAGCTTCCAAACCCTTCTCTATGATCACTCAAATCCCTACTCCCTCTTGGGCAAGAGCAAAAGAGGGTTGCTCTTTTCCTACACACAGTGGGACCATGGAAAATGTAGCCACCATCTGGGAGGAATTCAGTAAGAAAAACAGGAATTTGGAGATTTGGAGAAGGTTGAGAGCAATAGAAGGGGCTTTTCTGAGTTAGGAATACATACTTAATAGAATTTAGTGACACTTATATATTCAAGTAATAAAAAAAAGATAAATCTTAATATGTTTCTGAAAATGCCATTTTTTACTGAACATACTGCCTGTAAATTCATTTCAAGGTCTATACAGACTTGTAAGTCAAGGAAATGAGCCCCTTTCATGGGGCTTTTCTGATCAGATCAACCTGTAAGTTTCTTTTCAGGCTGGTCTGATTGGAGGCTCAATCGTATTCTATTGGCAGGTGGATAATACACTCACCAGCCTCTTTATTAGGTACACCTTTCTAGTACAGGTTTGGACCCCCTTTTTCCTTCAGGACTGCCTTAATTCTTCATGGCATAGATTCAACAAGGTGTTGCAAACATTCCTGAGAGATTTTGGTCCATATTGACATGATAGCATCACGTAGTTGCTGCAGATTTGTTGGCTGCACATCCATGAACCATTGATACAAGGCAGGATGGATCCATGCTTTCATGTTGTTTACTCCAAATTCTGACCCTACCATCTGAATGTTGCTGCTGACATCTCATGCCGTTGCTGAGACTCATCAGACCAGGCAATATGTTTCCATTCTTCTATTGTCCAATTTTTTTGAGTCTGTACAAATTGTAACCTTCATTTCCTGTTCTTAGGTGATAGGAGTGGTGCCTGGTGTGGTGTTCTGTTGCTATAGCCCATCTGCTTCAAGGTTCGATGTGTTGTGCGTTCAGAGATGGTATTCTGCATACCTTGGTTGTAACAAGTGGTTATTTGAGTTGCTGTTGCCTTTCTATTATCTCTAACCAGTCTGCCCATTCTCCTCTGACCTCTGACATCAACAAGGCATTTTCGTTAACATGGCATTTTCGTCCACATAACTGCAGCTTACTGGATATTTTCTCTTTTTCACACCATTCTCTTTAAACCCAAGAGATGGTTGTACATGAAAATCCGAGTAGATCAGCAGATTTTAAAATACTCAGACCAGCCAATCTTGGACCAGCAACCATGCCACTTTCAAAGTCAATTAAATCCCCTTTTTCCCCCTTCTGATGCTTGGTTTGAACTTCAGCAAGTCGTCTTCACCATGTCTTGATACCTAAACTCATTTATTTACTGCCATGTGAATGGCTGATTAGCAATTTATGTTACCAAGCAATTGAACAGGTGTACCTAATAAAGTGGCTGGTGAGTATAGACGAGCCTGCATCAGTTTACATCTGATAACCTCCAAGTCTGTCTAGGTACCCAAAAAAACAAAAAAGGTTTGTATTCTTCTATGGTTTTATTGGACCTAAACCTGACAGAGTGGAGATAAAGAATGTATACGGATGTATGTCTATTTACATCCACCTGCCTATACACCTAACATAGGTCCATTAAGCTCTCTTTTTTCCATAATCAAAGATTAAGAAAAACCGGAATGGACAATCAGTCCATTCTGCCCTGATCAGTGTGCAAACTCCCTGCTGATTGAAATAGATATGACCCGTGTGAAAGGCCCTTGGGAAAACTGAAAATTTTGGCAAAACTACCAAAGCAACTAAACATATTGAAATATATTTCTTCTATTATCTCTCTACAGGTAAAAGAATGTGTCTTGGGGAAGGACTGGCTAGAACAGAACTTTTCCTGTTCCTTACCACCATCTTACAGAAATTTACACTGACTTCAGATACTCAGTTCTCCGAGTCTGACATCTACCCTAGGATGACTGGCTTTGCCAATGTACCCATCCCTTATAAGATGGCATTTGTGCAACGCTAAGTGTCTGTTATCACTTTTTTTAATCTGTGTAACCTCAATATAATTGTGTTCTTTACTGTAAAGTTGCTTGTTTAAGTCCCAACAGTTTTTCAGTTTCTTGACAAAACCTGTCAAGAAGGTTCTGAATATTTGTCATATTGTTTTAATGATCTATAAAACGTTAATACACAAAAAGTACTAGGCTTCTATTTCTCCAATAATGGTGTGACTTACAATGCTTGATATTGGTAAGTAAAGAATTTCAACCAAAACTACTATGTAATTTCAAGTGGAGGATATTGGGCCAACCTATGTGCAGACATAAAGGGGTTGATTTACTAAAACTGGAGAGCTCAAAATCAAGTGCAGCTCTGCATAGAAACCAATCAGCTTCCAGATTTTTTTGTCAAAGCTTAAGTGAACAAGTTACAGGTAGAAGTTGATTGACTACCAAGCACAGATGCACTAGATTTTGCACTCTCCAGTTTTAGTAAATCAACTCCAAAGCCTATATTTATCATGGTACCAGAAAATTTGGTTTTACTAAGTAATTATTTAGTCAGCCTGAGGATTATAGTAGAGACAGAACACATTTTCAATACTTTGAATGCACATGCTAACTGTAAGTCTCATAATGATTTCAGGAACAGGCTGCAGCCTGCTCACTTATTCACATTTTGCTTCCATAACTGCCAGGCATAGGGCATCCAGGTTCACTCAGGTTTCTGCCAACTGTACGTCTGATATCTACACCTCTTGTGATATTATGTGTGATTATCTGATCCTGTTCCTGTGAGCAATAATGGGCCTCCAAGGCTGCTACACTTTGCCCTACTGAGTAGAAAAATAGAAGCCAGAGAGATATTTCCATTTCATGCAGGGCTATAACTATAAGCAATGAGGCATTAGAACAAAACCATTAAGGGGCTCCTTGTTTCTTTAGTATTCATCTCAAATCCAATTCTTTTAATGATAAAGAATGTGATCTGCTTTCATAGTAGTTGTGTACTGATTCACAGATTTTATATAAATTATTTCATTCAAATTATTTGTCAAATGCTATTTCCACCTACAATATCACTGTGTAGCAAGATAGTATTGGGCCCTCTTTGCTTCCGGGCCCCATAGCAGTTACATGGTCTGTCATGGCTAAAGTTACATCGTGGTTGCCATGTGGCTCATTTAATTACTAAAACATATCTTTTCTGATGCTGAATTTGGCTCAGGCCACTTCTGAACCTTTATTCTTTCCATTTTATAAGAGGTCAGAAGCGGGCATTGCAGCAGGGCACTATGACTAAAGGCTAAAGAGCCAAGTATCCAGAAGAACTGGACACCACAGAGAGATTGGTAAGAGGTGCAGAATGGTACTGCCATTGAAGTTGAGTGAGCTTATGGGCCAGCAATTTCCGGTGTGTGCATTTCTGCTGAAGTTAGAGAAGATACTCTGCATGGGAAGTCATTCGTTTGTGAACTTTTGCTTTCTTTTAAATAAAAGTGGGCTACCAAGCCCTATAGACAGCTCCTGTCTGCCATGGAATCACTAAAATAACACATCTACCACAAGATCTAACTACCCCATGTCACACTATACACAAATGTTTTGCCTTTTATTTATATTTAAAACTGAATGGGTTGTTTTACAAGGTGAGGGTTTACATATACTGTACTTTGCCATTCGGCTCCTGTTGACTTGGGGTTTTGATTCAGGACCTGAACTTTACTTGAATTTTGTGAACCTGCCTCAAACTGATTGGTGCTTATTTGGCCTATTCCTAATAAGCACCAATACAGAGGTAAAGAAAAGGAAACATGGACTCAACTGGGATGCTGAAAATAATTATAAGAGAAACCAACACTTTTTCAGGTATTCTGTTGTTAGAATGATAGCTTCTTGGCTTCCAAATTATTTTCGTTACTAAGTCCCCAGATCCTTTTTTTGTGCCTCAATTTTGGTGGTGGAACATCTAAGCTAATTTTGATTCATTCCACTCATGGATGGTTTTCTGATTATTCTTTCACTACACACACTGCCTACTAGTCAAGACAGACAAGACAGAATTTCTGGTGCTTGACAAACTTTTTACTCTCAGAAATTGCTGATTCACTTCAAGGCCATTCTGCTCACTCACTTTTTTTTTTTACCACTTGAGGAACTGACTGTGGCAAATGTCTCACCTTGGTAAAGTTTAGATAAGTCCCTGACCCTCACTAAAAGTCCTCCCTTTGATCCAGGTGAAAGACAACAGCATACATCAAAGCAAACTATAGCTCCTGATAAAAGTTGCTGTTTGCTGCAAAATCAACACTAGACTCAAACAAATGCCAGGCATATGTGGAGCTCTGCCAGGTGTTCACTAGATTATGAATTCCCATTTGCATTTTGCTTTAAACTAAAAGCTCTCTATGTAAAGAGAATAGTGCAGGGGTGGCAAACAAGTTAGACACAAAGAGCCAAAATTTTAAACTGTGAAAGTCAGAGAGCCACACCAAAAAATTCTGAACTAATGGACTGCAGACACAGTACAGGAGATGACCAGAGACTGCGGACAGCACAGGGATGACCAGAGACTGCGGACAGCACAGGGATGACCAGAGACTGCGTACAGCACAGGGATGACCAGAGACTGCGGACAGCACAGGGATGACCAGAGACTGCGGACAGCACAGGGATGACCAGAGACTGCGGACTGCGGACAGTACAGATGACTGCTGACCTTTGAGGAGGAGGGAGTGGGTACCTGAATTTTTGACAGGTACCCGCTCTTACTTCTGCAGAGTTTTTGTTTGATCTTACCTGTTCCTCGATCCAGCCACGCGCTGTCTTCCCGGCTTCTGTAATGGCGCTCGGCATGACAGCCGAGTGCCCAGTGCGCATGAGCGAGAAGCTGATTGGTCCGGCGGCTTCTGGGATCTGTCATGTGTCCCAGGTACCGCCTTACCATTCACAAAAAGCACCGCTTCTTGCGCATGCACACTTGGCACCCGGCTGTCATGCCCAGTGCCCACACTACAGAAGCCGGAAGACAGCGCGCCGCTGGATAGAGTAACAGGTAAGATCAAAGAACAAAGAAGTAAGAGCGGGTACCTGTCAAATTCAGGTACCCGCTCCCCACCTCCCCAAAGGTCAGCAATCATCTCCATAAGGTCCCGCTGCAGAGCTGAGCGGCCGGCCCGGTATTCTGACACGGCCGCGGTGGAAATACCGGACCGGCCGCTCCAGAGCCGCATTCATTTTGGCCGAGAACCGCGTGTTCTCCACCCCTGGAATAGTGGACACTTACCAATCCTGGTCAGTGCCTGCACCACTTAACAGCGTTCGATTAAAAATAAATCCTTCTTTCAAGTGTCTTTAGCAGACACTTTTGGATGTATAAGACTCCTGTTCACCTCACTTTTGTACTGAAATAAATATTCACAAGGACAAATATAGAGGGTAAATTTCCCTTGTAGAGTCCTCCTCACTCAATGGTTCCTCCACCCAATCCCTAAGTTACTTTTGTGTCCTGCAGGGATGTAGGGGTCGGTGGGAGAAATCATTGAGCAAAGAGGATTCTGTATGGGAGATAAAGGTACTAGTGGTTCCCAGAAGGATCAATTTTTCTGTTACTGGAAATTCCAGTGAAAACAAATGGATTGCTCACTGATGTTTTATTATGTTTTACAGAAAAGAGACCCAGCATAAAAAATATAACACCTTCAAACTACGGCTAGGTTCACACTGCTGCTATATGATTTTGAGGCACGTTTCACTGCAATTATGTAGTGCTATTTGGATGAAACTCTGATATACACTATATTGCCAAAAGTATTGGGAAACCCCTACAAATCATTGGATTCAGGTGTTCCAATCACCTCCATGGCCACAGGTTTATGAAATCAAACACCTAGGTATCCAGACTGCTTCTACAAACATTTGTGAAAGAATGGATCGCTCAGGAGTTAGTGAATTTAAGCCTGGGCAATAAGTCCATCGGTGAAATTTCCTGGCTACTAAATATTCACGGTCAATTGTTAGTGGAATTATAACAAATTGGAAGCAAGTGGGAACAACAGTAACTCAGCCACCAAGTGGTAGGCCACGTAAAATAACATAGCGGGTTCAGCGCATGCTGAAACGCGCATTGCACAGAAGTAGCCAACTGCCTGCAGCTTCAATAGTTAAAGACCTCCAAACTTCATATGGCCTTCAGATTAGCACAACCACAGTGTGTAGAGAGCTTCATGGAATGGGTTTCCATGGCCGAGCAGCTGCATCCAAGCCTCACATCACCAAGTGCAGTGCAAAGCGTCACATGCAGTGGTGTAAAGCACGCTGCCACTGGACTCTAGAGCAGTGGAGATTTGTTCTCTGGAGTGATGAATCAAGCTTCTCTTTCTGGCAATACGATGGACATGTCTGGGTTTGGTGGTTGCCAGGAACAATGGTACTTTCCTGACTGCATTGTGCCAAGTGTAAAGTTTGGTGGAGGTGGGATTATGTTATGGGGTTGTTTTTCAGGGGTTGGGCTTGGCCCCCTAGTTCCAGTGAAGGGAACTCTTAAAGCGTCAGCATACTAAGATATTTTGGACAATTTCATGCTCCCAACTTTTTGGGAACAGTTTGGAGATGGCTCTTGGATAAAACAGGAAGGCGCTTCTAAGTGCAGTATATCCAGATGAACTTTAATGATGACAGTTAGAAACACTTACAAACTTGCAGTAGAAACATGCTCAGTAAATTTGTCAGGATGCGGAGACTCTATCCACTGTGAAAGAACCCACTATGCCAGCCAGCAGCTGCAGGGGAGCTGAGGATAGGATATCCAAGATGGCCACCGCAAGTTCCAGGGGTTGCTGGAACGCAGGCCGGAACGCACGCTGTCCAGGAGACCGCAACCGAAAGTGATGTGGATGTGGAATGGTGACGCATTTTGGAGCATGTTCAGAGCTCCTTCTTCAAGACCGAAGCCAAATACTAGGTGGAGCCGAATAAACATGAAAAAGAGGGCAGGGAAGGGACGGCCTGAGGAGACAAATGTGAACGCCCCCCGAAGACAATGTGGAGTAGGGAAAGGGGGAGAGACTATTAAAAAATGGAGTAGAGGACAAAAAATAAAAACAATAATTAAAATAAAAAGGATAAAAAACAACACAGAACTGTGCTTAGGAGGGGAATGTGTGGAAAAAATGTGCAAGGTGTGTGTGGGACATGGAGGGAAGAAGGAGAGGGGATCCACAAGCAGGTTGTCGCAGAGCAGTGACGAGAATTACCCAGTGGGCTAAGTAATAAGCAATGAGCAAAATGGATATAAGTATAAGATACATGAGGCTTACATGGCATTTAGAATAAGCTTTGTAAAAGATATTAGATATATGAACTAAACTAGGAAAATGAGTAAATACATCCGTGATAAATAAATGACTAGGTAAATGAATAAACCGGTGGATAGTTAGCTGGTTATTTGCACCATTAATGAAAATTATGGTGCACAACAATTGAGTATAATCTTACAGAAGGTGTATCTGAAGAAAAATGAGAATATAAATAGACAAAGACTACATACAAATATGGCAATCGGGAAGGGGGAAAAAAACAAGAAAAAAAGGGGGGGAGGGTGATTATACAAATATGCATGAAAGTACATATATCTGTTTGTGGAGGCATATAAAAATAATGAAAAGATATAAAGGTGGTAGGAAATGGTAATTCTATAGGATGGTGTGATTCTATAGAATGGTGTGAATCTCAAAAGTCCTCATTCAGACCTCCAGGTGATAGTACTTTCAGAATATAAATCCAGTATGTTTCCCTGCGACATAAATGCTGAAATCTCTCAACTCTGGGGAGGTCGGTGGGCATGGCCTCAATGACCCAGACTTTTAATCCTTTAGTGGATTTTTCATGCGGTTCAAGAAATTGTCGAAGGATGCTGTTTGTCAATACAGTCTTCGATGAGGCGGCGATGGTCCCCAAAGCGTTTACATAGAGTGCGGATGGTTCTACCTACATAATATAAGCCGCAGGGGCATGCCAGACAGTAAACCACAAATTCTGAAGAACATATGTGGAATGCAGCAAACTTGTATGTTTTGCCTTTTATGTGGAAATCTTTTTGACCATGTTGGACAAATGGGCATGTTAGACAGAGAGGTTTATTGCATCGATACATGCCAAAGATAGAGAATAGACGAAGGGGGACAATGTTTGACTTCATGGGTTTTAGTTTACTGGGCGCTAATTTGCTTTTAACATTACAAGCTTTCCGATAGGCAAACCTGGGTTTGGTAGCTATGCTGTTGAGCAGATGTGGGCCTTGTAGAAGTATGACCCAATGTTTTCTTACTATCTTTTCCATATATATGTGACGACTGTGGAATTGGGTTGTAAACATGATGGTGGGGTTACTCTCTCCTGAATGACAACGGGTGGTGGTGGGACCTATATTGTAAAGTGATTGGGCTTCATCAATGATAGCGGGTGGATATCCTTTTTCTAGGAATTTGTCTTTAAGGGTAATGCTTTGTAATTGATAGTCCTGGAGTTTAGTACAGTTGTAAAGAAGTCTACAAAACTGACTTTTAAGAATATTGTTCAACCAGCTGGGGTGGTGACAGCTTTTGTAATGTAAAAAGGAATTGCCAGCAGTTGGTTTGGAATAATTTTTGGTAAAGATACGGTCGTCTTCATGACACATAAGCAGGTTCAGGAAGGCTAGGGTGTTTTGATTGATCTCAGAGGTGAATGTTAAACCCATGTTGTTGGCGTTACAGTGGGTAACAAACTGTTGAACACTCTCAGCATCACCATCCCAAATGATGATGACATCATCAATGTACCTGCCATAGTAAACAATGTGAGAGGAATGTGGATTATTGTTCCAGATGTATAAAACTCCCAGTATTCCATGGTTAAGTTTGCATATGAAGGGGCGAAGGGCTCCTTCCTGTTCCAACATGACTGCACACCAATGCACAAATCAAGGTCCATAAATACATGGATGAGCGAGTTTGGGGTGAAGGAACTTGATTGACCTGAAAAGAGTCCTGACCTCAACCCGATAGAACACCTTTGGGAGGAATTAGAGCGGAGACTGCGGGTCAGGCCTTCTCATCCAACATCAGTGCCGGACCTCTCAAATGCGCTTCTGGAAAAATGGTCAAACATTCCCATAGACGTACGCCTAAACCTTGTGGGTAGTCCTCCCAGAAGAGCTGAAGTTGTTATAGCTGCAAAGGGTGAGCCAACTGAATTTTGAACTCTATGGACTAAGACTGGGATGCCATTAAAGTTCATGTGGGTGTAAAGGCAGGTGTCCCAATCCTTTTAGCAATATAGTGTATATCTAGAGTAAATGAATAAATGAGCGCAACCCAATATAAATGGCAAAAATAAGTGAGAACAATGGGGAGCTGCTAGCATAAAAAGGCAATCCTCAGCACCTCAGTAACAAATGATAAAACAGGTATGCAGCGCTAAATGTAGATCAATAAAGATTATGATTAGTGATAGATACAAATGCCAAATGGTGTATTAATGTCCACAAAAGGTGATATTGTGCCTGTTAGTCCACAGCTGACAGTGTTACAACCGTCAACTCTCAGATTGTATGTACTTCTGGTAAGTGCATTATTGTACCACAACTTCACATCAGAGATTATCTATCACGGAACATCGAGTGTTGTTTTGCATCTCTCGGTCCTTTGACGGTTGTAACACTGTCAGCTGTGGACTAACAGGCACAATATCACCTTTTGTGGACATTAACCTCCCTAGCGGTATGATTATTTCCGATTGTTGGTGCTGAAAGCGGTACAATTTTTTTGCATGGAAATATGTATTTTTTTTTATTGCAGGCCTGTAATTTAGGAATAACTCACTGAAATCTGTCCGAACAAGAGTCTAATAAACATTCCGGATATGATAAAATTTGAAACACAAAATCATAAATTATAATTTAATAAATAATCATAAAAAATAATAATATAATAATAATACATTTAATTAAATAATATAATCAAACCAAAAACACTGAAATTTGAAATATAGCGCCAAGTTCGCACATCACTGAGCAAAGTCGCAGAATCGTTTTCAGTGTCTGATGAAGAATTTCCCCACAAATCATTATCACTCAATTCTGCAAGTGGTTCTAATTTACTATCGCTGTTCTCTAGCCGGTCTAAAACCGATTTTGACATAAAGAGATGCTTTTTGAATGCCATGGACGTTTCTCAGTTTACAGGCAGAAAGACCAGTAAAATTGCAGGCAGGGCGCAAGACAAAGCACTCGGGACAAAATGTATGTGAAATGTTTTGAAACAGCAATGTTTTACTATGTAATAATCATTTTTAAAAAAATGAAATTTTTTAAAAATTGAAATGGCGCCCGTATGTCCCGACGTCACAGGGACCGGAACACGGAAGCCGGCATCGTCCAGAGGAGATGGCCGGGGACGCTGCAGGGGACGCATCGCGGGAGCGAAGGACAAGGTAAGCTCTGCAGGGACTCCCTATGCAACGCTGCATGGTAAGCCCGAGTGTAGCTCGGGGTTACCGGTTTTGGTACTGAAACTCTACCCCGAGCTACACTCGCGAATACCGCCAGGGAGGTTAATATGCCATTTGGCATTTGTATCTATCACTATTCATAATCTTTATTGATCTACATTTAGCGCTGCACACCTGTTTTATCATAGTGTATATCTGTATGTCCTATGACACTGGTGGCCCTCTAGCTGTTGCCAAATTACAAGTCGCATGAAGCATTGTAAGATTGACAGTTACAAGCAAGACTCATAAAGGCAGAGGCATGATGGGACTTGTAGTTTTGCAACAGCTGGAGGGCCACCAGTTTGACACCCATGTTCTATGGGGCCAAAACTGCACTGTAATCACATCAAAGTAGTACAGGAACCTTTTCTAAAATCGCTTTGCGCTGAGTCAGATTGATATGAATGGACACTATTGGAAACAATGTGATTTTCCTTGTCATGCGATTCTTTTCTACTCAAGTGGCATCTGAAATCGCACTAGTGCAAACCAGGTCTTTTCTTTAAGAATGTTTGATAAATTGCAGAAAAGTATAGACAAGTTGCTCTTTTTCCTAAAACAAAATGTGTAAACCTTTTTTTTTTTTGTGGTTTTACATTTTTGGTAATCAGTTTAGAGATACAAAAGACCAAGGCTAGGGCACAAGGAGAAAATATCAACTTCTCTACCCCCATGAGGGCCCAAAAGCATACCCCCTGAACCTTGGTGATACCATCCCAAAAGCTAATAGCTAATATTATATTCAGGTTGTACATAATTATTTAATCATAATAAACTTGGTTTAAAAAATATGAGGAATAAAGTAAAACAGCTAATAGTATAAACTACAGTTGCTCTGCCTGATCAGAACCCAAATAATTGTAGAGCTGCAATGGTTCAGATGAAGTGCTATCACAACAGATTTTTCTTTATTACATGCTCTCCAATAATAACTATAGCGACAATGTTTATGATTATAGTATCTTAGAGGTGCAGGATTTAAATGCAGTTCCCAGAGTTCCATTTAGCGCTGGTTGAATGAGAGCTGGTATGTAGTGGGCTGGGAGCCAAAACCACTCATTTTAGGGCTGATGTCTTCTTCTGTGAAGGTCATCTCAGAGGACAATGTGAAGCTCTGCAATACGGAAGTGAGAAAAATAAACAACTCCATTCGAGCCAGACTTTCTCCCAGACACATCCGTTTCCCTGTGTGAACAAAATGGAAACAATATTTTGAATCATATAAGGAAAAACTATTGTTTTGCATAATTTTTTTTTTAAGTATGTAAGCTTTAAACTGATTTTATTTATTTTGCAAATTAATATTTAATTTCCTGTCTAGATTTTGCACAACATTCTAAATATTTTCTAATGAGAAAGCCCACCACTAGCCATTCTCTGTCAAAATTGTTTTCTAATTAAAACTCCCTAGAGAATCATGTCATCACTACAGGAAAAGAAAGGAGAGTGTCTCAATAAATAAGATTTTTTTTTTCAAGTACATTTTTATTTCAGGGTCCAGACTTTTAGGGAATTCCACGTTTTCTGTAGAGAAAGCCAAGTACTAACTGTTCTCTGTTTGTCTGTCAATTACTCCATTAAGATAAATATGATTAGAGTTAGGATAGGAAAGAGAAGTGTTCTTCCTCTGACTCTGATACATATACAGTTGTGTTCAAAATAATAGCAATGAGACATCACTAACCTGATCAATCACTATTTTTGGTAGAAATGATATTTCTACATGGCAAATAATTTACTAGCAGGTGTAGTAGAGTAATAGAAATCCAACAGACCCAACAGTCATGACATGCATGCTGCTGATTCTGTGTAATTGAATCTCTAATTGAAAGGGGCATGTTCAAAATAATAGCAGTGTGGAGTTCTATTAGTGAGGTCATTCCTTCTTTGAAAAACAGGTGGCAATTATTGCCCTTATTTCAGGAAGGAAGCCAAGCTATCTGTAAGAAGCCCCCGCAAAGTCCCACTGTTGGAAAAAAGACATGTGCTGAAGAGGTTACAATTTGCCAAAGAGCACATTGACTGGCCTAAAGAGAAATGGCGCAACATTTTGTGGACTGATAAAAGTAAGATTGTTCTTTTTGGGTCTAGTGGGCGGAGACAGTTTGTCAGACGACCCCCAAACACTGAATTCAAGCCACAGTACACTGTGAAGACAGTGAAGCATGGTGGTGCAAGCATCATGATATGGGGATGTTTCTCATACTACGGTGTTGGGCCTATTTATCACATACCGGGGATCATGGATCAGTTTGAATACATCAGAATACTTGAAGAGGTCATGCTGCCTTATGCTGAAGAGGAAATGCCCTTGAAATGGGGGTTCCAACAAGACAACGACCCCAAACACACCAGTAAACGTGCAACATCTTGGTTCCAGACCAACAAGATTGACGTTATGGAGTGGCCAGCCCAATCCCCGGATCTTAATCCAATAGAAAACTTGTGGGGGGACATCAAAAATGCAGTTTCTGAGGCAAAACCAAGAAATAGAGAAGAACTGTGGAATGTCGTCCAGTCATCCTGGGCTGGAATACCTGATCACAGGGGCCAGAAGTTGGGTGACTCCATGCAACACAGATGTACAGCAGTTCTCAGAATCAGTGCTTATACAACAAAATATTAATTAAGCGATTCAAAGCAAAGCAAAATCTTCAAACATTTTTCAGTTTATATAGTGAATGTTTGAGTTTGTAAAGAACAATACAAAACACTTCTATTTTTTTGAACAGTTTAATATTCACTTTTCTTCAATTTTTTTAGAGGAACAACACAAATTTGATATTTTTTTCTTTATGTTTTGATTTGGAATAGAATGTGTAGTGTCCCCAATGCATTTGTGTGTATGGAAATAAAAGCTATTAGAAGGATTTTGAGCTTTATTCACTTTTTTCAACACACTGCTATTATTTTGAACACAACTGTATATACATATATACAGTATTTGATCCCCTGCTGATTTTGAATGTTTACCCACTCACAAAGAAATGATCAGTCTAAAAATTGAATGGTAGGTGTATTGTAACACTGAGAAACAGAATAGCAACAAAACATTTTAAAGAAATGTATGTCTAACAAATGATGACTGATTTGCATGTTCAATAGGGAAATAGGTATTTGATCCCCTTCACAAAACATGACTTAATACTTGGTGGCAAATCCCTTGTTGGCAGTCACAGAGGTTAGATGTTTCCTGTAGGGGCCACCAGGTTTGCACACATTTCAGGAGGGATTTTGGCCCATTCCTCTTGGCAGATCCTCTCCCAAGTCTTTAAGGTTTGGTGGTTGAACTAGGGGGAAACTATTTATAAAGTCCTTAAATGGAACCCAGCATTTGGAGGCTCTGAGAGATTTTGGGTGGGAAAGAGCCTCCACGCCGGATTGTGGGTACTCTGGTAAAGTGCAGGAAGCTGTCAGCAGGTCTGTGTGAGTTGTTGAGTGGAAGAAGAGGCATGTGAGAGGACTGTGAACTATCTGGCTACTGAGACACTGCCTAGACACCTATAGACCTTTCATGGACCTCGAAGCAGGCGGTTACCATAAACCCTGATGTGGTGCCAGTATACAGGTGGTGAACCGTTATGTTAATTTATGTAAACCAGTTATGACCTGTTTTTATGTAATTTGCTGAAGAAGCTGCTTTTGCTTGCTTGGTTTTTTGGAGGAAAAATAAAGACTGATTACTTTTACAAATGGCTGGCTAGTGTTCTGAACCCCAAAGATTACAATATATACAGAAAGGGTGCTGTCCAAGCCAGTGTGGTGCACAGGTTTGTGCCAAATAAGAAATCTGTGAAGGCTTATGCTGACCTTTCTTTGATCGTCCTTTGAAGCAAATCCCCCTCCAGAGGCTTTGTGAGTGTCCATTTGCTATCCCTAATCTGGCTGACAGGAACCCACCTCTAATGCTAGACCTACTGCTCCCTCACATCAGAAGATATTGCTGTAAAGTGTAGGGTGGAGCTGTTGATGACGCCATCAAGCCAGACTTTCTGGGTCTTGTAGCAGGAAAGAGTGCTGTTGCTCTTAAAGCAAACCATCTGAGCTATTGCCTTTATACAGACAAGTGAGTGCAAGCTGAATGCATGTTTTAATGTGGGTGCTTTTATTCTTTTAAATAAGTAATTGTGAAATTGCTCAAGATAAAATAAATGGAACCATTACTTGCTCTGTATATAACAGAGTATCAAGGAGGAGGAGACAGAAGCATATGGCAGCACGAAATAATGCCAGTTGGTGAGAAAAACATGTATGACTTTGGAATACAAGCTACAGTCATCCGTAAAGGTGAGCAGGATTTCAACTAACTGATTTTGGGAGTGATGTATTCTTCAGGTTATAAAACCAACATATATTTGATTGTTTAAGGGGTAAGTGCTGCACTATAAAAATCTAAAGTTTTATTTTCAGGTTACTTAACTTGAGGTGCAGGAAGCTTTAATTCACACAAGAAGGGGTTTAATCTGATAGTGGGTATCTTGGTAAACTTTATATGTTAAATCAACAGTACCTGCAGAAAAGGGCATAAATGCCTCATTCTTCTTCAAACATCCATTTTCATCCAGGAAGTGTCCAGGATTAAATTTGTGGGGTGTAGCATAATGTTTGGGGTCCCGCAGCACAGAACACAACAGTGGGTAGACATCTGTACCCTAAATACACAAATAATTCACAAACAGATAGATGTCAAAACTTGCCAGATATGGAGTTGATATCAGATATGAGTCATCAGTTGTCAGTGGGGTTTTTAATTATTGGTAATCAAAAATTAAGAAAAAAAATGGCGTGCGGTTCCCCCCAATCCATACCAAGCCCTTCGTGTCTAGAATACATATTGAGGGGAACCCCCACAGCAAAATTAAAAAAGTGGCTCTGGTCCCCCCAAAAATTCATACCAGACCCTTATCCAAGCATGCAGCCCGGCAGGTCAGGAATGGGGGGGGGGGACGAGCAAGAGCCCCCACTCCTGAACCATACCAGGCCACATGCCTCAACATGGAGGGTGTTGCAAAGTACCTTGTCCCCATGTTAATGGGACAAGGGCCTCCTCCCCACTACCCTGGACAGTGGTTTTCTGAATGCTGGGGACTTATCGGAATCTGGCAGCCCCTTTTAACAAGTGTGTGCATGGGGTAAGTGTAGTGTATAGAAACACAGGAGGTAGTTTTTTTGACAAGCCCTTTATTAAAAAAACAAAAATGTAAAAATGTTCCCCGGTGTAGATCCATTATCATAATATAGAGGCTTCGCTCTCAACAAACGTTTAATCCGCCTGACAGTTCTTAAGTAGCTTCGCCCCCTTGTGATGTTATCAACCATGGGAAGAGCCCCTCCCTGCCCCAAAGCTCCCCCCTTGTGTTGAGGGCATGTGGCCTGGTATGGTTCAGGTAGGGGGCGCTCACTCATCCCCTCCATTCCTGACCTACCAGGCTGCATTCTTGGATAAGGGGCTGGTATGGATTTTGGGGGGACCCCACGCCATTTTCTTTTAATTTTAGTGTGGGGGGGGGGGTTCTTAATATTTAATTGCCATACGATACTTGAAGGGCCTGGTAAGGATTGATGGTGAACCTCATGCTGTTTTTTTTCTTAATTTTTTAATTGCTGCTTACAGCTGATGACTCATTACATTACTGCATGTTTTTACTACTAAAATACTGAATTACTTCATAAAATAACTAATGCAGCATTTTGTAGCGTTTTGTAGTGAATGCCAACAAACTTTATGAAAAACGCTGTGCGGAATCTTACCGCATACTGGGATCCAGTAATGGTATCCATTTTGTGAATTGTCCCCCATAATCCCTAACCTAATCCATAACACTACAACACTACATAAACCACCAAAAGCACATGTGTATCTTAATGGGTTCTGGAATAACTGGGCCTGAAGCTACACCATCTGGTACCAAGATGCACAGCACCCAAGTAAAAGTAAGTTTCCAGGTCAGGATGGCAGAGCTTCTTCTTTAGGTTCACCAGGAAGATTTCCAAATCAAAAATATTAGCATGAATTTCACAGGGAGTTTGGCCCAAAGTCTATCTACAGGTACTTTAGAAAAGCATTTGAGAAACTTCTTTACCTTCCACAGAGGGAAAAAACAAGTTACAGGCTTGTCATAAAAAATAAAATGTGGCTGGGGAAAGATGCTGACAAGTTGCATTGCTTAAAAGTTGCAGCAGCAGGGAAACATTGACCTGATTATACTAGCAGAAATACTATGACTGGCTGAGCAAAATGCTAAATCCTTTAAGTTAAAGTGGAACTAAAATGTAAAAATACTCAACCTGCTCCAGCGATGGGATGTCTAAGAGCTCCTAGCTTTTCCCAGTTTCTTCTGGGTGTGGGTTTTTTTAGGGGTCTTGATTGTATGGTGCAGGATGACACATCTCTTGTGCAGGGCTTTTTTTCAGCGGGAACACAGGGGAATGTAATTCCGACACCAGAGGGTCTATTGATGCTGCCTGCTGGGGGATCTATTGTTGCTGGAGATGATCTATTTTTCCAAGAGGTCTATTGTTGCTCGGGGGGTCTGTTGTTGCTAGTGGATCTATTGTTACTGAGGGTGCATCTTATGTTGCAGGGGGCTAAGTCATTGCTGGGAGGGATCTACTGTTGAGGGTGTAGCAGGGGCGGACTGACCATTTGGAAACTCGGGCACTGAACGGGGGCCCGGGTCAAATAGGGGGCCCCATGAGATGCCCCTGGTACCTTTTTCATAGGCTTTGAGTTTGGCCAAGGACACAGGGGCCCCATGATCCCCTATTGCCCGGGGGCCCCATGATTTTTCAGTCCGCCCCTGGGTTGGAGTCTATTTTTGCTGGCTGCTGGAGGTTCTATTGATTCTGGCTTCTGGGAGACTATTTTTCCTGGGGTGGAGCTTTTGTTGCTAGCAACAGGGGATCTGTTTTACTGCCCTTCTTGTTAACAGTAGCAAATTCTATAAAAATAATTTAGCACCACAAAATGATACTTGGTTCTGTATTCTCTAAAAGGAGCTGTACTGGGGAGGGGGATAGGGGCTGGAACCAAGGAATGGTGCTTAGAGATGGGTAGGGGGTGGACACACGGGGTGACTCGGAAAGGGGGAGTTCCTGCACCTATTCCCTGAGAAAAATGCCTGCCCGTGCACATGTGCATGTGAGTTAATTCATCCTGGCAGATGCTTTACAGTGAGCTGTGTATTTAGTCAAACCTTTCTTTTAATAAAAGAAAAAAAATCCTTCCCTGTGCAATTTTTTTGTTTTATGGCCATATTTTCACTTTAAAACATTTTATTACATGTATCTTATGTGTATATTTAACTGTTTGTCTCATTTTCTGGTTTATATATCTAGGGAAAAAAAATAACCCACCTTTGGAATAGTATATCCTTTAAACTCTGTGTCCCGTGTAACTGCGTGAGGAAGGCTCATTGGAGACACATCACAGAATCTCTGGATCTCATGGATCACAGCATCAGTATATGGCATCTTAGTTCGGTCATCCATGTTTGGGGAGCGATTTTCACCAATTACCTTGTGTATTTCTTCCTGGATTTTGGCTATGAAATGTTAATGGGTGCAGTTAGTTTCTGTGTATATACTTTGTACATCAAAACAGGGTCCAACCTACAGCCCTCAGACCACATCCAGGTCTCTACGTGAAGTTATCCAGCCTGTAGCTAGGGTCAGTGGCTTATTCCCAGTGTGCATAGCTTTTGTATTAAAGTCAGCAGAGAATGCCTATGGTCTCTACTTATGGTCTCTACTTTTGATGTGAGGGGGACTCTGATTAGGACCCTGATGAATGGGACAATGTGATATGGATCCTGATAAAAGGGCAGATTCTGCTGGGGACCCTGATGTAAGTGGGACTCTGAAGTGAGCTCTCTTTCAAGAGGGGGGCTCTGATGGGGACCTTGATGTAAGGGAGGATGCTGATGGGGATTTGCAGCTTGCAAATATTTGTAACATATACAATGTGGTCCTTGTAATGAAACGTTTGGTGACCTCCTGAACTAAGACTCTGGGGGGATTAATAAAAAGTGTCAATAGCAATCAATCAGCTTCTATAGTTAATTTTTTCCACAAAGCTTAGAAAGTGACTATTTAAAAAAATGACAAAAAATGTACTGCTACCCAGGAGCATCTAATCTAGTGGTCCTACATTTTAAACAGAGGTTGAGTTCACTGTATTTCAGACTTTAGTGGAGTGAGACTATGGTCAGTGGGAGTAGAAAATGCCCTGGCATCAGGAGTAAAAAATGACCTAGTGCCTGTGGCCAATGGAGGGAGGAACAATGGCCCATTGTTAGTGTCATTGGAAGGAATAATGTGCCATCATTTATGCAAGTGGGAGGAATTGTCCCCATCACAATTACATCAGAGAGAAGAATAGTTCCCCAGTATTGGTATCAGTGGGAAGAAAATTGCCCCATCTTTGGTTTCAATAGGAGAAACAGTATCCCATCTTTGGTGTCAGTGGGAGGAATAATGGCCCATTGTTGATTTCAGTGGAATGGATAGTGCCCTCTCATTAGTGTCAGTGGAAGGCATAGTGCCTCATTGTGGGTGTCAGTGGGAGAACAGTGCCCTAGTGTTGATGTTAGTGGGAGAAATAGAGCCCCATTCTATGCTTTATTGGAACAAATAGTTCAACATTGTTATTGTCAGTGAGATGAATAGTGGTCATCAAACGTTTTGTGGGCAGTATTGTGCTCCATCATTGGTGTCGAGGGTAGGAAAAATGCCCCAAGGACCAGTTAAGGCTAGCAAAGGGCTGCATCTAGTCCACAGGCTGCAGGTTAATCTAAACTGTTGATTTTCAATTTCAGAGGTATAGGGAACCTGAACATTAGCTCCTAACACCACCAAAAGTCCATACATATGTAATGCTGCAAAAGACTATTGGGGTACATTTACTAAAACTTGGAGAGTGCAAAATCTGGTGCAGCTGTACATGGTAGCTAATCTGCTTCTAACTTCAGCTTGTTCAATTAAGCTTTGATAATACAACCTGGGAGCTGATTGGTTTCTTTGCACTCTCGAGTTTTAGTAAATCAACCCCTTAGTGTCTGCAGAAATACTACAGAAGATCAGAGACTGAGGATATGCTACAGGTGTGGTAAGAGACTGCGGACATGCTGTAGGAGACAGTCAGAGACTGAAGATATGCAACAGGTGCATATGAACAGTGGAGATACATGGCAGGAGTTAGAAAATTGGGCATGCTATGAGGCTCGGTTCACACTATTGCAGGTCATGCTACCCACGCTTGCTCAGGCATGGGCTGTTTCGCCCACGTTTCTGCACAAAAAAAAGTGCATGCACCTTTTAGACAATGTTGCCTGCAGGGAAACCGCAAATAGACCATGCGGTTTCCCTGCGATTCCCACACCTGCAGTCATGCTCCAGGCTGAGATGCACAGGGGGTGCCATTCAGAATAAATATCAGCATCGCGCATCTTGTAAGAGCAGCATCATTCGGCTCCAGGTGGTTGCGGGTGCGGGAACAGGTGCAATTCCCACATGTGCAACCAGCCCACAAGTGTGAATCTAGCCTAAGAAATTGCTAGAAATCACTGCCATTAAAGTCTCTGTACAAATGAATGCTCCTACTACTGAATGTGGTTTTCAAGAGCTGTATAACAAGTACCGAAGGACAGTAGGTTGGGAACCAGGATTAGTTTGTGCTGTCCATAGTAGAAGATCCACCATAATGATGTGAACCTCCTGCGCTCACTAGTGTTCAACTCTATACATATAGAAGAGAAGCTGCTAACATTAAATCATATACCAATGATTACCATAGACATATAAAATAATAAATTATAATGTAGCGCTACTCACATAATAAACAAGTGCATATAAATATATGTACCAAGTGTATCAATTAGTGAAAAATACCAAATCAACTATTGACCAAGTGATTTCATGCAAAAATCCAAACAATTATATGTGAAACGCAAAATGTGAAGGTGATAATTGAAAACAATTGATGCTGATCAAATACAATCTTCAAAAATAATTATAATGACCTAAATCATATGGAAAACATATATATCTCTTTATACAAATCCATTCAGTGTAAATAATATATAAAATCACGCATGCATATAGTGAACATACTATAGTGGAACCACAATACAAAAACAACAAAATCAGTGCTCTTAAAGTCCAAAATATGCCGATGGTAACACTTAGATGACACACACTCTTGCTGATATTTGTGTGCAAGTGGATATGACAATCCGACCACCGTCTGGATAAGCCTCTCTTTCGCGGGGGTCAAAGCGCTTTACTGGATCCTTCTCATGGATCCTCCAAGCCTGCTATCCCTCCAATCCGTGAGAAGGATCCAGTAAAGTGCTTTGACCCGCAAGGGTTGAAGTTATAAGGTTGATTTGGTATTTTTCACTAATTGATACACTTGGTACATATATTTATATGCACTTGTTTATTATGTGAATAGCGCTACATTATAATTTATTATTTATAAGATCCACCATGTTTTCTAATAATTTCATTACCACAATAAGCTATAAGAATCTCAAAACAAGAGACCCCAGGGAAGCCATTTACCTTGTATGTCAGGATACTTCAGGAGCACCAGGAATCCATGTCGTAGAGTGATACTGACAGTTTCTGACCCAGCAATAAACAGATTAAATATTGTCGTTAACATATTCACCATGCTGAAAACTGGGGTTATTTTTCTCCTTAAGACACAAAAAACAACAAGATAGGTTTAATACTTTACATATAAAACAAATTTTATTTTACAGGATTTACAGTATATAGCACCAACAGTTTGCACAGCGCTTTACAACATAAGGGCAGACTGTACAATTATATAAATAAAGAACCTGCGCCACGGACATTGTATAAAACAGTAAGCTGCAAAACCTAGCCTATAAACTTATAGGATATACAAAACTTCAAAAAAATAGGTTGCACTTAAATACATACAAAAGTGTAACAAAAAAATAACAAAACAATAAGAAACAATATTTTTAAATCAAAATAAAATCCAGCATCTGTTGGAGTTCATCCCTTGCTTCTTCAGTGTTGTTGTCACCATATTATTCATTTCTCCCAGAACAACAAGTACTATGTGCTGGTTTTTCAACAATCAGCATATTACTCTGGTGAGTTCTATTTAACCATTTTTGGTGGTGGATTTACTTGGTGATGAATTATTTTGGACATTATTCATTATTTGAACTTTTGGACTTTTTCGTTTTTGCTGGATTTTATTTTGATATAAAATATTGTTTCTTATTGTTTTGTTATTTATTTTTTTGTTACACTTTTGTATGTATTTAAGAGCAACCTATTTTTTTGAAGACTTTACAATTACAATACAATTTAATACAGGACAGATCAGATGCATGTTAGAGCTTAGATGGAAGGTCAAGAGATACAAAAAGTAATAAATGTGGGGGATGGGCTGATGGAGAAAATACATGTACAGTCGCTAGGTGATGACAGAATAGGCCTCTCTGAAGAGATGAGTTTTTAGGGATTGCCTAAAAGTAGACAGAATAGGAGATAATCAGACACATTGGAGAAGGGAGATCCAGAGGATGGGAGCAGCTCTAGAGAAGTCCTGAAGGCAAGCATGGGAGGAGGCAACAAGGGAGCTAGAGAGCAGAAGGTCTTGGGAGAAATGAAGAGAATGATTTGGTTGGTATTTTGAGACAAGGTTAGTGATGTAGTTGGGAGTTGTAAGTGGCTTTGTTTGTTGTTCTAAGTATGTTTAATTTAATTCCTTGGGTGAGTGGCAGTCAATGGAGAGATTGGCAGAGAGGGAGAGTCTGGCAGCAGCATTCATGATGGACTGAAGGAAGGATAGCCTATGTAAAGGTAAGCCAATGAGGAGGGAGTTGCAGTAGTTGAGGCAGGAGATGACCAGGGAGTGAGTTAGAAGCTTTGTGGTGTCATTGGTTAGGAAGGAACATATCTTGAGATGTTGCGGAGGTTGAGGCAGCAAACTTTGGACAATGATTGGATGTGAGCGGAAAGGATAGATCAGAGTCAACGATTACACCTAGAACCATGGCACGTGGGGACGGGTTGATGGTTGAGCGATTGATTTTGACAGAGAAGTCAGGGGAAGGGGCACGTGGGGGAGGAAATATTATGAGCTTGGTTTTGGATAGATTGATTTTCAGGAAGTGGTGTGACATTCGGTCTAATATGTCTGTTCGTAGACATAAACTTACAGATGTATTTAACCTCTCAGAATATATTCAGTTAAAATTTAAAGTTTTAAATTTTTTTCTAATTTTGGATAGAGTAATACCAACTGTCATCTTCTTCTTCTATCAGCTTGCCATTGAGGGGATTTCCTTTCACTTCTTGTCCTTTAGACACATCACAAAGTGAGAAGAAATCTCTTCAAAGTAAATTAAATCAAGAACAAGTGTCCCTATTGCAAGACTTCCCCTCCTGTTTGGGTGACAAATCATTTTCAGTCCCAGTGCCAATGGTCACCAGGACAAATGGGGAGGCTGAATTCCCCTATTGAAGATACATAAAGCAATAAAAACCTAATATGCGGTCTAACCCCTCATCACTGTATCCAAAACTAATGAAAACATGTTTGCTTCTAAATACACTTTGAAGGTGCCAGGATTCTACAAGATAAGGTTTCTTTGCTAATTAATTAGATCCACATTTTGCATTCCTGTGCATAGTGACATGAAGGCACTCTAAGCATTACACCTAATGGAATATTGCCTTTCAGGCACCTGCTATCCATACTTTCTGAAAACATGGACACATTTTTTATTGTTTCTGCTAGTTACTGTTCTGTGGTTTTGTTGGTGATACCTGTTGGTGTTTGATGAGGAAGCAGTCTATGAAATCTCTGGGTGAGTCTTGATCCAGTGTCTGTTTGTTCTTCTCCACTCTTTGTGTGACAAAGTTCAGCATATGAGCCATATGTTGATATATCCGTTTATGAGGTCCTGGAATATACTTCATTAACCCGGGGAGAAGAACCTGTAGCTAAGGAAGCACACAAAGGTATAACCTACAAAGGCAATGTAGATAAGTTTATAATGTACTGTATGTTCCATCATCATACATTGTATTACTGTGAGTCCATAAGGATATGCTCAATATTTCCACTTTAACATGTTATGAGGCAAGACTGGCAAAAAATTTTCCTGTAGTTACTGCTAAAACAATCTGCCCCGGATGATGGTAATGAAACTTGTAACGGTGCGTGCCGTCAGACCCCAGCCCTCCTCACCAACTTGTGACCGAAGGACCAGCCGATCTCACACCGCGCTGTCACTTGCGTAACAATGCCACTCTCAGCTGCGCCCTGCACAAAGATTTTCCAGCTCGCGGGGGCCACAATCTATGTGCCAGCAGCCTGAGAGCGATTGTTACTGGGTCAGGTTAATTACACAATTAACCCTTCACACTGCCACCGCCACCTTTTTACAGAGAAGGAGGAAACTCACAAATCTTAACAGTAACACTATAATATTAGCATAAGCGTCTGTAACACACTGTCACCACGGACAGATGTATTCAGAGGATTATTACATACAGTAGCTCTCTTCAGAGGCAGGGATTCTTTAGTTTGCATTAAAAGCTTTAGAGACAGTTCAACACTTTTCAGAAAATGGGATTTATTACTAAAAAGGTCAAAATGGTGCAATTAAAATATTTATAGAAAAAGATGTAACAAATATATAAAGAGAGCAATAAAACAACAGAGAAATAAAAGAAAAGTTTCAGAAGGTAGAATACTTGCAAAAGTCCTTGGTTTGAGTCCAATCGTCGTCCGAACAAAAGGTTGCCTTTGCTCTCAAGTCTGTTAGATGTTCCTGATCGATGTTAAAAGGAGAGCTCATTTTTCTCCAGGCTGTCAGTCTTTTCTATTATCTCAAAGGGGTGTCTCCTGAGAACAAATGGCCAATCACCCCATTTGGGGATGGGTGTTAGGCGGTAACCAAGGTTATGACCAAATCCCTTACAAGTTCATACTACGGTCAAGAACCTTCAATAGGTACAGGTAGCATCCTAGCAACTGGCAGATTAATATTTAGAATCATATTCCAAACGCACAGATCCCAAACTTTAGCATATCCTTCTACTCCAGATAAAAGAAATAGCTTTCTACCCTCTTGTAGGCACTACATAGGGATGTAAGGTGTCATGTGACTCACATTAAAATGACCTGTTTGAATATATACTTTATATTAATGTGCCCAATTCCTGCTGAAGTTTATGAATGTGTTTGAAAAAATGAATGTGGAATGTACGTTTTATGGCACACTCTAGTCCTAATGGCCTATTATTGTTTTACGATTGGGCAGAGGAAAGTGGTTTTCAAGCAGACCTCCTGGAACCAGACTAATTAGTGGTTTACAGCCATGGAGCTCATCCAGCTGTGCTTATCTAGGACGATATGCACTTTTGAACTCCTTCACTTAGAGACCCACATTACATTCAAAAGGGAGGAGGGAGAACAGGAGAGACAACATGGCCGTGACCTAACAAGATGGCTTGTCGGTGTACTGCATCCATGCCTCTATTGCGCACAATCATCACAAAACGCAATGGCACAGCAGCACTGATTATGTGATCTCCACAGAAGTAGATAACTAAATGTCTAACACTGATCCACTGTAAGGATGGGGTGACCAATGTTCTTATTTTGGTTTTGTGCCCAGCATAGAATGAGCCTTTTCCTGCAAGAAAGGTAGATTTTCCAGTTCTTCTATTGTAATTTATTAGTGTACAGTGCATCTACAAGAGAGGATGGCAACAAAGTGGCTTAGTGTTTAGCGCTTATATCTTGCAACACTGGGATCCTTGGTTAGAATCTTGACCAGGATATTCCCTGTTCAGCACACCCTCCTAGGTAGGTTGCTAGCTAGGTTAGGTAAATTTAGTTATTTTAGCTCTATTGCAATCAGTTGAGCAGCTTGTGTATATTTTGGGCTGTTCTATGTGCAGTTTGACTGCTTTCCCCTGCCATCTGAAGGATTCTGGAATGCCGTGGGCTGGGAGAGTCAAATAGGCAGCTGAATATTTATGTGGCCCCGGCCAATCCTGGTGGAAGGTGCCCAGTAGGTGGCTAGAAGAGTGCATAAATAGTATGAGGCCTAGTGCAGAGGTGGTCTTGTCCAGGAGGAGATGATTCCAGCCTGAAGGGCTTCTGCCCTTCTGGGCAGTCCAGCTGTGCTTTTCTTCTGCTCACTGAGGTCCCACCTGAGTCAGCTGAGGGGCTATTTGACAGGATTTTACTGGGATCTGGTCTGGAGAGTTCACAGGTGGCATGTCTGGCTGATATTAGAATGAGGCATCCAGATATACAGTTGTGTTCAAAATAATAGCAGTCAGACATCACTAACCTGATCAATCACTGTTTTTGTTAGAAATTATATCTCTACATGGCAAATAATTTACTAGCAGGTGTAGTAGAGTAATAGAAATCCAACAGACCCAACAGTCATGACATGCATGCTGCTGATTCTGTGTAATTGAATCACTAATTGAAAGGGGCATGTTCAAAATAATAGCAGTGTGGAGTTCTATTAGTGAGGTCATTCATTCTTTGAAAAACAGGTGTGCAATTATTGTCCTTATTTAAGGAAGGAAGGCAGCAAATGTTGTACATGCTGGTTACAGTGCATTTCTCTCTGTAATTCTGAGGAAAATGGGTCATTCCAGACATTGTTCAGAAGAACAGCATACCTTGATTAAAAAGTTGATTGGAGAGGGGAAAACATATAAATAAGTGCAGAAAATGATAGGCTGCTCAGCTAAAATGATCGCAAATGCTTTAAAATGGCAACCAAAACCTGAAAGACGTGGAAGAAAGCGAAAAACTACCATTCAAATGGATAGAAGAATAGCCAAAAATGGCAAGGACTCAGCCAACAATCAGCTCCAGGAAGATCAAAGAAGGTCTAAAGTTACCTGTGAATACTGTTACAATTAGAAGACGCCTATGTGAAGCCAAGCTATCTGCAAGAAGCCCCCGCAAAGTCCCACTGTTGAAAAAAAAGACATGTGCTGAAGAGGTTACAATTTGCCAAAGAGCACATTGACTGGCCTAAAGTGAAATAGCGCAACATTTTGTGGACTGATGAAAGTAAGATTGTTCTTTTTGGGTCTAGTGGCCGGAGACAGTTTGTCAGACGACCCCCAAACAATGAATTCAAGCCACAGTACACAGAAAGCAAAATCTTCAAACATTTTTCAGTTTATATAGTGAATGTTTGAGTTTGTAAAGAAGAATACAAACACTGCTATTTTTTTGAACACTCTAATATTCACTTTCTTCAATTTTTTTAGAGGAACAAACACAAATTTGATATATTTTTCTTCATGTTTTGATTTGAAATAGAATGTGTAGTGTTCCCAATGCATTTGTGTGTATGGAAATAAAAAGCTATTAGAAGGATTTTGAGCTTGATTCACTTTTTTCAACACACTGCTATTACACAACTGTATAAGGACATTCATACGTACAGACCAGTGTGTGAGATCCCAGTGACTGTGTGCTGCAGCTATCCCTTGAGAATCAGTGTCAGTCTGTGCTCAAAGCTGGACATTTCCTATGTTGTCCCTATGTAGTTCAGTCTATCCATTGCTGCTTGCAAGGACTGTGCTTGTAAGATCTGAGGATGTGAGAAGTGTCTTTGAGTAGTTACTTTGCCTTACAGGAGTATCCCACCCTTACCTTGCACCTATCCAAATTCAAGTTTAATAAAGAATCAGAAAAAAGATACCCCTAGACTGTTTATTGGGCCTGAAGAGTGACTGGCACTGTGTGCCTGGCTGCTAGTACACCAACTGGAGAATGAACCTTGGGATCAAATCAGCAGGCCCTTTAGTAGCTGAGTGCTACACCTGCAAAGAATTTGCATGTTCTCCCTGTGTTTGCATAGGTTTGCTCCAGGTACTTCAGTTTTCTTTTCAAATCCCAAAGACATGGTGGTAGGCTCACCTTTTGTAACATGTTCCATGTTTAACCCATATCCAGTGTGTAACATGTTACAGATGCACCAGCCTTCGCTTCCCCCCCCGAGTCCCCATTTTGACCACAAACAGGGGATCTTCTCCCCCCCGCCCGCTGTCACGATCTAAAAAAAACCACGTCCCTTGTGGCTGTCAGCACATAGCTGAGCACTCTGGTAGGCCATTGATTCTTCCTGTCAGAGTGTAACTGCCTCGGAGATAAAAGGCCCTAGTATGTTGGGTGACTGCATTCTTCACAGACCAATGGTAATGGATTTAGTCATCGATCGAAACTAGGCTCCCATGCTGTCACTCTTATTTATAAATGGCATGTCACAAAAAAAATAAATGGTTCATAACAAGGTATGTTTTCATAGTACGTTGCCAATTGAATGCTTTAGAAAAGTAAAATTTATAATCCACCTACCTGCCCAAAGGTGCTGCTCATATCTCTTGACCACACATTAAGTATACTTAAGAGAATACTGTAGTCTTTGTCATCATATTCAAATCGATCTCCAAAGACTATGGAGCAGATTATATTGGAAACGCACTTAGCCAAAATCTTAGTTGGGTCTATGGATTTGCCTGCAGATATAGATATGTGAGATGAGTTTTTTTTAAAATAAGCTTTCTTTTATGTTTACATGTGATTGGTTTGGCAGAATGTGCCTGGAGGCACTCTGGGACCTTCAATATTTATCCTTGTGTTAGCACAATAGATGAAAGATAATAACCTGCATAAGAAGAAAAGGATATTTTGCCCATCACAACAGATGGAAGCCAATAAAAAATATAAGAAAAATATAAAATTGTCATATAGTACATAACAAAAGAGGTGAAAGACCATAATCTGCACAAGAAGATAGTGGAATGTTACAATAGATGGAAGGTAAGGACCTGCATAAGGGATACCGTATGCTACCTAGCATAATAGATTGAAAGTAGAAATCTGCACATGTGTGGGATAGGTGCAGTGTGGTACGTCGGTAGTAATGATACTGAGACCTGGGATGCAGAAACAGAAGTAGAAGAACTTGTAGAACAGTTACAACAACCCAACGAGGAGAACGTCCATCTGGGAACAGTCAATTCAATGAAGAGTCATCGGTATTAGGCCTGAGCTGAAGGCAGCGCCTGCCAAAGGAGGTGGAGTGTGACGTGGCTGGTCCAACCCAAGAGGGAGCTTGCGGGAGTGTAGATGTAGGCCCTACATGTCTCTAGTCCTATGGAACCTTTCCCTGAGAGATTGGTGAACTCTTCCTACACTAGCCACTTTGCAAATGTGCGCCAAAACCAGGAGGCATGTACTTAAAAAGACACCGCATAACCAAAGATGGCCACCAAGGTCACCTGGATGCAGTGTAGCCAACCGTAACGCTGCTTTAAGAGACCGAGGAAACCATAGAGAAACAAAGTTTCACTTGACTTCCTCTCCAGCTGCAGTACCACTCTGGTTGGGTGCCACCTACAAAGGAGAAAACAGACAGCACTTGCCTACATACAAAGAGAGTGATATGTTACTTAGCATAACAGATGGAAGGCAATAACCTGTATAAAAAGATAAGATAAGATAATAAAAGACATTATTTACACTGAAAATGCATATTTATATACTGTATAAAACTCCTGGTGAAGACATTATCATGGAAAACCTTTACTATTTACCATCGTTCACAAAAATACAATGTAGATGAACATTTACCTGCCCCCCCACACCCCACCCTGGGATGTACTGTGCATGTTTATGGAAAGATCTTAAGAAACATGTTTTGGGCCAACACCAATTTCATATGTATTGCTAGCCTTAGGACTTGAGTTGATGAATCAATACAGTGTTCAATTTAAGAGGCCTTTGAAATCATGTAGAGTTGACAGGTGCATTTAAATTGCAGCTGGTCTCATTCTGACCTGTATTTGCCCTCCTTCAAAGCTGCATCACTCGCATCAAGTTTCTTTGGCATTCTCATTGATTTGTATGAAGAGAAGAGCAGTTATGAAGGGAACAAAATCCTGCTGACACAGGGCCTTAGCTAGATAACCAATCCAACTTTAAAATGAGGGTAGAAAGACAAGTACTATGGGAAGTTGTATACCTTTGTAAGATTTTAGTTCTGCTACCAGACATCGAGCTTCTTCCTGGATCCTTTCTTCAATACTTCTTTTGCCCATTCCAAAATTTTTAAGAGTCATGAGAGTGAATCGTCGAAGGCTCCATTGCTAAAGGGCCACTTCCTCCTAAGAAAAAATGACTATATTAAAGATAGGCTTAATTATAGATGAGCGAAGTATTGAAAAATTTCGATTCGGCCTGATTCGGCGAATTCCAGTATGAAATATTCGATTCGATTGCGAATTTCTCCGCTACGAAGATGACTTATACAAAGGGTTTCTAGGCTCAGAGAGCCTTTAAATTAGTGCAGAACACTGTACCTTTAATTTTAAATTGCCCTTGGAGCTAGATGTGAAGGAGAAGGAACGTAGAAGGATGAGACGGAGAAGGGATGAGAAGAAGGAGAAGGATGATAAGAAGGAGAAGAAGAAGGATAGAAGAAGCCAGAGAAGGATGAGAAGGAGAAGGAGAAGGATGAAGAAGGAGAAGGATGAGAAGAAGGAAGAAGGATGATAAGAAGGCGATAAGGAGAAGGAGAAGTGATGAGAAGAAGGAGAAGGAGAAAGGATGAGAAGAAGGAGAAGGAGAAGGATGAGAAAGAAGGAGAAGGAGAAGGCATGAGAAGAAGGAGAAGGATGAGAAGAAGGAGAAGGAGAAGGAGAAGGATGAAAGAAGGAGAAGGAGAAGGATGAGAAGGAAGGAGAAGGATGAGAAGAAGGAGAAGGAGAAGGATGAAAAGAAGGAGAAGGTGAGAAGGAATGAGAAGAAGGAGAAGGAGAAGGATGAGAAGATGGGAGAAGGAGAAGGAATAGAAGATGGAGAAGGAGAAGGGAATGAGAAGAAGGAGAAGTGAGAAGTATGATAAGAAGGAGAAGAGAGAAGGATGAGAATAAGGAGAAAGAGAAGGATAGGAGAAGAAGAAGGATGAGAAGAAGGAGAAGGAGAGAAGAAGGAGAAGGAGAAGGATGAGAAGAAGGAGAAAAGAGAAGGATGAGGAGAAGAAGAAGGATGAGAATGAAGGAGAAGGATGAGAAGAAGGAGAAGGAGAAGGATGAGAAGGAAGGAAGAAGGATGAGAAGAAGGAGAAGGATGAGAAGAAAGGACAAGGAGAAGGATGAGAAGAAGAAGGAGAAGGATGAGAAGAAGGAGAAGGATGAGAAAGATGAGAAGGAGAAGGATGAGAAGAAGAAGAAGGATGAGAAGAAGGAGAAGGATGAGAAGAAGGAGAAGGAGAAGGATGATAAGAAGGATAAGGAGAAGGATGAGAAAGAAGGAGAAGAGGAGAAGGATGAGAAGATGGAGAAGGAGAAGGGAATGAGAAGAAGGTAAGAAGGCATGAGAAGAAGGAGAAGGAGAAGGATGAGAAGAAGGAGAAGGATGAGGAGAAGAAAGAAGGATGCGAAAGAAGGACGAAGGATGAGAAGAAGGAGAAGGATGAGAAGAAGGAGAAGGATGAGAAGAAGGAGAAGGATGAGAAGAAGGAGAAGGAGAAGGATGAGAAGAAGGAGAAGGATGAGAAGAAGGATAAGGAAAGCAGAAGGAGAAGGATGAGAAGAATGGAGAAGGAGAAGGATGAGAAGATGGAGAAGGAGAAGGATGAGAAGAAGGAGAAGGAGAAGGATTGAGAAGAAGTGATGAGAAGAAGTAGAAGGAGAAGGATGCGTGAGAAGGAGAAGGATGAGAAGAAGGAGAAGATGAGAAAGAAGGAAAGGAGAAGGAAGAGAAGAAAGGAGAAGGATGAGAAGAAGGAGAAGGATGAGAAGAAGGAGAAGGAGAAGATGAGACAGAAGGAGAAGGATGAGAAGAAGGAGAAGGAATGAGAAAGAAGGAGAAGACAGAAGGAAGTATGGATGAGAAGAAGGAAAAGGAGAAGGATGAGAGAAATGGAGAAGGAGAAGGATGAGAAGAAGGGAGAAGGAGAAGGATGAGAAAGAAGGAGAAGGAGAAGGATGAGGAAGAAGGAGAAGGATGAGAAGAAGGATGAGAAGAAGTGCATGAAGAAGAATGGAGAATGGATGAGAAGAAGGAGAAGGATGAGAAGAAGGAGAAGGATGAGAAGAAGGATAGAAGAAGGATGAGAAGAAGGAGAAGGATGAGAAGAAGGACAGTTCTGTGAAAGGACAGTTTCCTGTCTATTTCCTGACAGTTTCTGGGACATTCACTGCCATACAGCGGTTTCAAACCGCTGTATGGATGGAATGTCATAGAACTGTACAGAAATAGACTATTTTCTAACAGTTCTGGGAACTCACACTCCATACAGCGGTTGAAACATTGTATCTAGTTTGTTTCCATAAATGGATCCATTTAGGAAACAAATAATACAATGTTTCAACCGCTGTATGGAGTGAATGTCCCAGAACTGTCAGAAATAGACTATTTCCTGACAGTTCTGGGACATTCACTCCATACAGCGGTTTCAACCGCTGTATGAGTGAGGGAATGTTCATAGAACTGTCAGAAATAGACTATTTATGACAGTTTCTGGGACATATCCAATCCATACAGCGGTTGAAACAATTGTATCATGAATTTGTTTCCATAAATGGATCCATTTATGGAAACAAATAGATACAATGTTTCAACCGCTGTATGGAGGAAATGTCCCAGAACTGTCAAAATAGTCTATTTCTGACAGTTTTTTTTCTCGGGACATTCCCCTGCAGATACACTTAGAGGAGCTCTGCAGATACACTTAGAGGAGCTCTGCACATTTTTTTGCCGGCTTGGAATTATTCTTATTTTCATCCTATTCTTCTTCTTCTTCTTCTTAAGATCCAAAGCCGGCAAAAAGTGTATTGCAGAGCTCCCTCTAAGTGTATCTGCAGAGCTCCTCTAAGTGTATCTGCAGAATAGAGGAACTCTGCACATACACTTTTTTGCCGGCTTTGGAATTATTCTTATTTTCAACCTACTTCTTCTTCTTCTTCATTCATATCCTCATCCTCTCCTCTTCTTCTTCTGAGGATGAGGATGAAGATGAATAAGAAGAAGAAGAATATAGGATGAAAATAATATTAATTCCAAAGCCGGCAAAAAAAGTGTATGTGCAGAGCTCCTCTAAGTGTATCTGCAGAGCTCCTCTAAGTGATCTGCAGAATAGAGGAACTCTGCACAATACACATTTTTGCCGGTCTTGCAATTATTCCCCCCCCTTATTTTCATCCTACTTCTTCTTCTTCTTCTTCTTCTTCTTCACCTCATCCTCTTCTATCTTCTTCTGAGGATGAGGAATGAGGATGAATAAGAAGAAGAAGAAGTAGGATGAAAGAAGAATAATTCATCCAAGCCGCAAAAAGTGTATGGCTAGAGTTCCTCTATTTCTGACAGTTCTCTGACAGCTTCTTCACATGTACAGCGGTTTGAAACATCTTGTATCCTAAAATGTAAACTAATAGATACAATGTTTTCAAACCGCTAAACATGTGTTACCTATCTGTCAGAGAACTGTCAAGAAACTAGCTGCGAGCTCACTGCAGGGACACTTTTACTGAGCCGGCCGTGCGTGATCGAGAAAATGTTCGATTCGCGCACACCGAAGTAGGCAAAAAAAAAATTATATATTTTTTCGGATTCGACGCAAATCGAATATTTCCTGAAATTCGACTCGAATTCCCGGTTCGCCTGGTTCGATTACGCTCATCACATCTCTACGATGGCTTAATACATAATAAAGCTGATCTCCAGTCTAAATTATGAAATATAAAAACTTAATCCATTCCACCATTCCTTTAACTGATCTAACTATTGTATTTTAAAAAATCACCTAAAATCCCCATTTACTTACCCAAATTAATGGTATTGTGTGCGGTTCCCTCCAGGTCTTCTATCTACTGGTCTATAGTTTCGGATTTCAAAGGTGGCCGAGGGGTGTCATTCTTGCTCTGCCTACATTGCTCCTGTTGGTTTTCAGTCCATTGGTGGGGTCCTAAAGGGTCCCTAGAAGCTTGCCTAATGCAGCATCATGATGTCACCAATGCAGTCAGCAGCAACAAGAATGGGTATTGGTGGTTTGGGTTGTAGGGACCAGGGGGTTGCTTTGCTTTAGAAATAGGCTTCAATTGCTGTTAGTTACATTCAGTAAAAAAAAAACTGGAGGTTTTGCAAAGATCTAAGTATGCTGATGGCGAGGAGTTTTTGGGTAGAACTCTAGCTCAGTTACTCTCCTATAGCATCTAAGGGCAAACATGCTATCAGTCTACATTCATGGAATTATTATGCAATTTTTGTAAAGTGGCCTACAAGAGATAAAGCCACATTATAGGTGTGATTGTTTACTGACAATGAGCATACAAGTATATTGCCATAGAAGTAAAAAAAAAAAAAAAAAGGATACAACACAGAAGCCTGGGCAAAGGCCCTAGACACACATGTATGACAACTGCTATTCACATGGGCAGCTCCAGTTTTTACAACCTTATTATGGTTGAGTTATTTAAACCCATGAAACCCAGAATTCACTACTGGAAACAGCATGAAGTCTGTTTGCAGACACTACACTGCACTCTACATCCTCTATTTGTTGTTTCCTTTCAAATACTTGCAAACAATCCAACATCAGTGACATAAAATACATCACTATATTTTCATACGTTGAAATCAGCTTGTTCCATTTAACAAGGATCTAGCAACAGCAATTACTGGGTAACAACACAAACAATTAGTGGTACATCGTTTAACTGTTTCTTTTATATATATATATATATATATATATATATATATATACAGTCAGGTCCATAAATATTGGGACATCGACACAATTCTAACATTTTTGGCTCTATACACCACCAACAATGGATTTGAAATGAAACAAACAAGATGTGCTTTAAACTGCAGCAGACTATCCGGCTTTAATTTGAGGGTATTACATCCAAATCAGGTGAACGGTGTAGGAATTACAACAGTTTGCATATGTGCCTCCCCGACTTGTTAAGCGACCAAAAGTAATGGGACAGAATAATAATCATAAATCAAACTTTCACTTTTTAATACTTGGTTGCAAATCCTTTGCAGTCAATTACAGCCTGAAGTCTGGAACGCATAGACATCACCAGACGCTGGGTTTCATCCCTGGTGATGC